CCCCTATGTACCTCCGGATTCTTCTCAGCAATTATAGGTTGAGGCATATCAGCAAAAACTCCCCCTAACCTCCCTGTTTCAGCAGCAAACAATGAAGCAAAATTCTTATTATTTCCCCCCGGACAGTCACCTGGCCTCACAAGCCTATTCACCTCTCCCAAACCCACTGCCCTCCTTCCCCGTAGCAAAGGTTCATGGGAAGCAGCCATAGAAGACTGCCCCTCCTTCAACCTACCTCTCCTATCAGCATACTCCTCACCAGCCACACCATTTTTAGTGTCCAACCCAGCATTCCTGGGATTCAGGTTCACTGATGCATTTTTACAAACAGTTGGTGTATCTAGCAATTGTTCATTAATCTCAACACAATCAGCATGTCTAATCTCCTCAATAGCCTTACCAAAAGACGTAGATGCTAGATTAGAAGGATTACCAGATTTGAGACTCTCCACTGCAAACGAGACCCCCTTCTTCGCAGCCACTTCATGATAATCAAAACCGCGCTGGAGTTCTTCTTCAACCTCAACCGGAACAGCTGGTTCCACAACCCTATCCTCCTCCTTCCATCGCATCATCTCCTTCTCCGCAGCCTTGAGACTCTCCACTGCAAACGAGACCCCCTTCTTCGTAGCCACTTCATGATAATCAAAACCGCGCTGGAGTTCTTCTTCAACCTCAACCGGAACAGCTCGTTCTACCACAACCCGATCCTCCTCCTTCCATCGCATCATCTCCTTCTCCGCAGCCCTATTCGCTTCCTTCCTTTCAATCATCCTGCGCCAACCCAAATAATCGTACCAGAGATCCTCAACTTCTCGCCAAGTATAGCGATACTCCACTGGAACCTTCGTAAGCTTCCTCAATCGATTGGTATCGCGGACGAAATCCCGCGAGGTTCTCTCTAGGATTTCAGCATCAGTCGGACAAGAGGCATACCAGGCCTCGTCTTCCTCATTATCGCCTTTGATTGAAGAATGATCCGAGACCGAGTCAGGATCTCGAATCACCGCTGCCGTCCTTCTAGACTTCCTGTTTTTGCCCCTTTTCTCCATCACAAGCGAAACCCTTCGACACAACCAAAGCAAATGGCGACGGTGGTTGAAGAGAACGACTAGACTCCGAATTTAGCGAAGGAAGATTTTAGCTGTAAAACCCTAGCGCCAGTTATAACCGACATGGCAGACACTACCCAAGCATAGAGAAGGCCACGAGGAATCGAGAACGAAGGCGGGAACAGAGGTTAAAAAGCTCTAATTGAAATCGTTTAATAACATCTCATCTCATATATTAATATATTTCAAAAGGTTTTTTAAAAAATAATAAATCTATAGGTACTATCATTATGTTAGCCTAGTGTTTATGTATATTATACTCTTTATTTTTATTAACATATAACATTATGAACTTATTATATAGTGCAAAATGAATGAAAATAGATACTATAATATATCAACAGGAAAAAAGACTGAAATATGAAATTTAGTTCATCTATTTCTCAAAATATGAAGCTTCTGAGCAATTGCGATTGACAAATTTGTGAAAAGGATGTTTGGGACATGCGTTTTAGGCATATTCAAAACGTACTCGACTTTTAATTATTTTTTTTTGACCTCTTCCTCAGACACAAGTCGTATTTGCGTCTGAGGTATTTATACGTCAGCCGCATTTACGAAATGCGACTGGCGTATGTTTCCATTATAAAGCAAGACCCATGTTTCCATTATAAAGCAGCAAGACGCATGTAGGAGATGTGTTTGACGTATACGCATCTCATACATGCGTTTTTGTTTCGATTACTCATCGGCTAGTAATTGCGTTCTTTCAACTGTGAAAACTCAGAAGACCGCAAGTGGGTTCTTTCTTTTTGTCAGCCGAAATGTGAGCTGACCAATAGCCTACTTAGGCACATTCCTTAGACCCCATTCACTCTTACAAAGAACAAAGAGCAGAGCATTCAAAGACTTCATAGTTAGGGCACATATAAACCTCGGAATCCTCAAGAACAGCTCAACCGCACATTGCAATTCACCAATATCACCATAAAACTTGATGAGATAAACAAAAACACCCTCGGGTATCTCAAAGTTGTCAACTTTCTGCAAATGATCAAGAACTTTAGGGATCAAATCATAGGTACAGGAGTTTCTGGTAAGCACTTGGAGTGGGGTCGCATTGGTAGTCCGCGAATGAATTGATGAGGGCCGATAAAAGATTCGACGTTGAAACATTTTCTATCATGCTCTGCATAGCTAGCTGATGGTCGAAGCTCTCGTGCCACTTGGTTTTGTACGGCGATATCGGCCATTTAATTTTCTTCTTTTTCTCAAGTAGTAGTTTTTCAATTTGGGTTTTGAAGAAGATGAAAATGAAAAGGACGAAAGATTTGTTCTCATATGCCAGATTGGTAGCCTGCATCTTCCGAAACAAAAACGCATGTACAAGATGTGTTTGACGTATAATACGCCAAACGCATCTGGTACATGCATTTTGATGTATAATGGAAACATACCTCAGCCACATTTCATAAATGCGTCTGAGGAAGAGGTCAAAAAAAAAAATTAAAAGTCAAGGACGTTTGGGACATGCCTAAAACGCATGTCCCAAACGTCCTTTTCACAAATTTGTCAATCGTCTAGAAGCTTCATATTTTGGGAAATAGATGGCCTAAGTTTTATATGTCAGTCTTTTTTCCCCAATAGTTTAGTGTTTATGTATATTATTAATATTTAAATTTATGATCATATAGACGAATATTATAATATATAATACAAGATAAATGTTATTAAAATGATGCACTTGTAATGTAATTTTATGTACATTGATCTTAATTTTTTTAATGAATACATAGAAAGAATATCATTAGTCTACTACATAGTGAATGGAAATAGATATAATGTACATGTAATTTAGTATTTATGTACATTAAAGTTTAGATTTATGATCATATAGAACATATATTATGAACATAATTTATTACTCCATATTAAACATGATGTCTATGGTGTAATTTTTATGTACATTAAGTTTTTCTTTATGAAAATATAGAATGAATATTATGAGTCTATTATAGAGTAATTAAAAATTTTACATATAATGAACATTAATGTTAGTGTTTATATACATTAAGGTTTAGATTTATAAACATATTTATCAAATATTATGAATATAATATAGGATCTGCCATGTAAAATCAAATTTCAATTTTGATCACATGACTATAGGGGCTTTGTTAATTTCAGCACTTGACTTTTAAAAGTATCAATTTAGTACCTTGACTATGCAATTTTTATCAATTTTGGTTACTCCGGCCAAATTAAACCGGAAAACCTTAATCTAACATTTAATCAATAATTTGAGGGATAAAATGGTCTTTTGATCCTTTCTCCTAATTGGTGTGCACCTACGACCGCCTGAAACTTCATCTTCCCAAGCAATTTTGCCAGCTCCCCAAATACCCTTTTCCGGATCACTACCCGGAGTATCAGACAATGCGGGAGTTCATTAAATACCTCGAATCGTACGCTGAACACTTCGACATCAAGTCGCGGTTCAACGAATGAGTGCAGTCCACTAAGTACGACGAGGCCTGCAAGGTGTGGCGGGTCAAGACAGCATCCCCTGACAGCGGAGAAGTCGAGTATATTTGCCAGTGGCCACCGACGAGAATGCGGAGTCCGTCGTGCCGGAGATTGAGGGGCTGAAGGAATTCGGTAGCGAAGTGATCCATGTCTGCGATTATAAGTTCGGCGAGGATTTTCACGACGTCGGCTGTGGGAATTCCGGCATGGAAATCTCCCTCGATATTTGCAACCACGACGTTAAACCTTCCATGGTTTGCCGCAGCTCGGTAAGCAAGAAAGCCATCAACTAAACGACGACGTTAATGCAAAATCATGGTTGAATTCTAATAAAATTTTCCTCTTTTTTATTTTTCTTTAGGTACATGTACTGCCTAGAGAAATTTTGGGGAAATTGACGTTCAAACTCGCTGTGTTAATGATGAAATGGCTGCCGCTGTGGCTGGTGGAATAGATTCTGGTAGTCCTGACATGGTTTATCCTCGAAAACATCGATAAATATGGACTGAAAAGGCCTTCAATTGGACTATTGAAACTCAAGAATACACAAGGAAAACCCCCTGTTCTTGACATTGGTGCCCCGGAAAAGATCAGATAAGGAAAACTGGGCGCTATATATCACATTTGCTGAACCAGGTCAAAATCAATTAAGAAAAAGGATCAAAAGACTATTTTGCCCCTTAAATTATAGATTAAATGTTGGATTAAATTTTTCCGGCCAAATTTGACCGTTAATTTGGCCGGAGTGATCAAAATTGACAAAAATTACATAATCAAGGTATTAAATTGACACTTTTAAAAGTCATGTGTTGAAATTAACAAAGCCCCTATAGTCATGTGACCAAAATTAAAATTTTCTCTTTGCCAATATCACTTGTGGTTTGTATAATATGTTAAAGTGGTTCCTCTACCGTGGGATCGGGAGTGTGGACTCTTAGGGCAATTGAAAGCATGTCTCACATTTGAATTAAAAGTATAAACTGATGGTTAGATTACCACACGGTTGCAAAAACGGCGTCATTTTGATTAAAAACGACATGTCCGACTAAAAAAAAAAAAAAAAAAAAAAATCAGTTTCGTTTGCTGTTAACGGCGTTATGTTGTGCATAATTTGAACTATATATCGAGAATGAATGAAGTATATTGTTTAAATTATGCACAACATAACGCCGACAATCAAAATTGATTTTTTTTTTTTTAATTATGCATGGTGCACAGCATAACGCTCCTTAAATTGCACATTTTTTTATTTTTTTTATTTTTGGGCTTCAAGCTAGGGCATGAGTTGAATCTGATATTAAATTACATATTCTCCATCTCAATCTCAATTAAAAAGTTAAGTTGATAGTTGAATAGCATATTTTGTTCATGTATCAATGTACCATATGCTCACAAGAGCTAGAGATTTTGGTTGAAGTGGGCCAATTTCAGAGGCAAGTTCTATTTCGTTACCGTTGGCAACGTCTCCCCCTTCTCTCCCTCGGCGATCTCTGACGATCGATCCTATCGACAACGGCTGAGCTTCGTCTCTGATCTATTCGGATTTGCATCAATAACTCTTATCGATCATGGCAACTGCGTCAGGTATTTCATTCTACTCTTGCTCCAAAAAATTCTTCGTTCCCTTATTGGAATTTAGTTTTTGTTATTTTGTGGGCATAATATTAACCATTCTATTTAAACTTTTCAATCAATCGAATCTCCATATGATTATTTTATGGTTTTCAGATTGGTTTTATGCTATCTTCCTGGATTGCTAATTGCATTGCACTTTTGGAATATGTTCAATAATATCATAAATAATGGCAAACTGCAGTGGCTTTCAAATCTAGGGAGGATCATAGGAAACAGTTGGAATTGGAGGAGGCTCGAAAGGCCGGGCTTGCTCCCGCTGAGGTGGATGAGGATGGAAAGGAAATTAACCCTCATATTCCTCAGTATATGTCCTCTGCTCCTTGGTATCTCAATGCTGAGAGGCCGGTATGTTTCCTTAATGGTTAGAGTGCCTTTTGTTATTCTTTTAATTGAGTTTGGAGCATGCATGTTCTTTTGGGTAACGAGGGAAACTAGTAGCCACTATTCGAGAGTGTGCACGGGGTAAATCCCGTCTTATAACCCTAGTCGAAAGACCACAGGAAGATAAATCCACATAGGTTGTCCATAGCTTACTGGCAAAAGACCACAAGGAGGTAAATCAGCCTAAGCTACTGTGATTTGAACTCGTGACCTTGTGGTTACAAGTTTGTATTAGATCATTAGCCATCTTGGCTAGAGTAACCCCGAGCATGCACGTTCTTGTTTTATAGAGTGATTGTAACTTCTTAATTGAGTTTGGAGCATGCATGTTCTTTTGGGTGACGAGGGAAACCCGCACTCACTACTCGAGAGTGTGCACTTTAATTTCCGCCTTGGGATCCTAGCTAGCGAAAGACCACAAGGAGGTAAACCAATTTGCTAGGTTGTCCATAGCTTACCGGCGAAAGACCACAAGGAGGTAAACCAGCTTAGGCTACTAGGATTTGAACTCGTGACCTTGTGGTTACAAGTTTGTATCAGATCATTAGCCATCTTGGCTAGTTGGAGTTACCCCGAGCATGCATGTTCTTGTTTTATAGAGTGATTGTAACTTCTGTATGTTTGAACGCTTCCTAGAGTTTGAAACATCAAAGGAAATGGAAATCAGATCCTAATTATACCAAGTCGTGGTATGACCGAGGTGCCAAGATTTATCAGGCTGACAAATATAGAAAAGGTGCTTGTGAAAAGTAGGTCAGACACTCTTTGATTTACAGCCACTTCCTATCTATGGAAATTCCTCGCCTTTACATCTCTATTTTTTTTCCCAGTTGTGGAGCAATGACACATAATGCGAAGTCATGCATGGAAAGGCCCCCCAAATTGGGAGCAAAATGGACGGGAAAAAGCATTGCAGCGGATGAGAAGATAGAGCAGTTCGAGCTGGATTATGATGGTAAAAGGGACCGTTGGAATGGTTATGATGCTGCTTCTTATGTCCATGTTGTTGAGAGATATGAAGCAAGAGATGAAGCGAGAAAGAAGTATCTCAAGGAACAGCAGCTTAAGAAGTTGGAGGAGAAAAACAATAATAACCAAAATAAGGAAGGTGATGTCCTCAGTGATGATGATGATGAAGATTTGGAAGATGCTCTGAAGGTAGATGAAGCCAAGGTTGATGAGAGTAACCAAATGGATTTCGCAAAGGTTGAGAAGCGTGTGCGAACTACTGGTGGTGGTAGCACCGGGACTGTTAGGTTAGTCTTAATGCATCTCTCTAGCCCGGGAAAGGTATAACTACTGGTGGTGGTAGCACCGGGACTGTTAGGTTAGTCTTAATGCATCTCTCTAGCCCGGGAAAGGTATAACTACTGGTGGTGGTAGTAGTACCGGGACTGTTAGGTTAGGCTTAATGCATCTCTCTAGCCCGGGAAAGGTATAACTACTGGTGGTGGTAGTACCGGGACTGTTAGGTTAGTCTTAATGCATCTCTCTGGCCCGGGAAAGGTATAACTAATGGTGGTGGTAGTACTGGGACTGTTAGGTTAGTCTTAATGCATCTCTCTGGCCCGGGAAAGGTATAACTACTGGTGGTGGTAGTACCGGGACTGTTAGGTTAGTCTTAATGCATCTCTCTGGCCCGGGAAAGGTATTTCTCTTTGATGTTTTTACGCGTTATTGGTAATGTTGGTGGGGATTCTTTTGTTGTAAATGCAGCTTCTGATTTCTGTGATAATCTAGAGCTTGATATCTGCTCTGCTAAGTGTTCAACATTACAATTCTGTTTTCTATTTCTATGGTTAGGAATTTGCGTATCCGGGAAGACACAGCCAAGTACCTTCTTAATCTCGACGTCAATTCAGCCTACTATGACCCCAAAACCAGGTCCATGCGCGAAGATCCACTTCCAGATATGGATCCAAACGAGAAGTTCTATGCGGTAAGATTGAGGCTTACTTACCGGTTGGTTATTTTTTGTCGAGTGTCCAAAAATTTGCTTGTGTTTCGGCTCTGTTACAGGGGGATAACCAAAACAGATTAAGTGGCCAAGCATTAGAGTTCAAGAACCTCAACATCCATGCTTGGGAATCATTTGAGAAGGGTCATGATGTCCATATGCAAGCAGCTCCCTCTCAAGCACAATTGCTTTATAAAAACTATAAAATCAACAAGGAACAACTCAAGTCCAAAACCAGGGAGACCATCATGGAGAAATATGGTAATGCAGCTAGTGATGAGGCACTCCCTAGAGAACTTTTACTTGGTCAGACTGAGAGAGAAGTCGAGTATGATCGCGCTGGCAGGATCGTAAAAGGACAGGTGATATTTGAATTCACAATTTATGAATGCTCGATTCAAAGTACTATGCATTTTACCTTAATTAATTACATATTATGGAATCAAAGGAGATGTCACTTCCTAAAAGTAAATACGAAGAAGATGCTCACATAAACAACCACACTAGTATTTGGGGTTCGTGGTGGAAGGACCATCAATGGGGTTATAAGTGCTGCAAGCAGACAATACGGAGTAGTTATTGTACTGGCGCTGCTGGAATTGAAGCAGCTGAAGCCGCGGGAGATCTTATGAGGGCCAATATTGCCCGCAAAGAAGCTACTGAGGGTGAGTAATAACATTCTAATCGTGTTGTGTCTATTTTGCTTCCGTGAACATGAAAGCATTTCCTAATGTTTTGGCACTGAACTTGATGGTTGTCAATCCAGATGCCTATAAACCAACCAAGGAAAAGAGGCTTGTTACCTGGGGAACTGATGTACCAGAAGATTTGGTTCTGGACCAGAGTAAAGTGACTGAAGCTCTTAGAAAGGAAAGATTTCTCATTCTCCTTTCGCTTTACACTTTGTTAGCATGTCTCAAGTTTCACATTTCACAAATCACAACCACACTCCCTGCACAATTTGATTTCTCAATGACCTTTTCACATCAAGCAAGCTAATTAGGTTCTCAGGTGGTGTGTGTTATTTTGAACGAGCAGGAGGATGAAAGGAGAAGAGAGGAAAAAGATGAAAGAAAACGGAAATATAATGTGAAGTATACTAGTGATGAGGTATGCCATTGTCTTCATCTTCTCACCAACACCCCACCCTCAAGACTAGGCTTTGTACAAACTACTTTTGCCCCTGCAGGTGACACCAGAAGAAATGGAGGCCTACAAGATGAAGAAGATCTATCACGACGATCCAATGAAGGAATTTCTGCACTGAGTTTGGTAGGAAGGAATAGAATTATTGAAAATTTAAAGAAAAAAGTGATATAAAAATGAAAATGCCCTTGTGTAATAATTATAATTAAGGGCAATTTTTGTCATTTTCCTCAATTTTCCTTTTCCAACTGCTACTAAATTGAAATTCATGGCTTGTTTGGTTGACATAACTGAATTGCAATTACAACACAATCTTTTGAACTCCTAATTACAGGAAAATTACTATATTGCCCTTGATTGTTATTATTATTATTTCCTTTTCCAACTGCTACCAAATTGAAATTCATGGCTTGTTTGGTTGACATAGCTGAATTGCAATTACAACACAATCTTTTGAGCTCCTCAATTACATGAAAATTGCTATATTTCCCTTGATTGTTATTATTATTATTACACACGAGTATTTTAATCTTTATATCACTTCTTCCTTCCTCATTTTCAATAATTTAATTCTCCTACCAAACAATGTAATTTGAATTCATACCCTTATTCTTTTCTTATCGAATTACAATTCTTTTCCTTTTTAATTCTTTCTTTTCAACCAGACGTCTTGTCGTGGGAGGAGTCTATGAATTCCAATTCCACTAAAAGGAGAGGATTACAATTCTCTACCAATCAAATGCCTTGTAATTAGTGTAGAATTCCCCATGAAATTTTGGATAAATGATGTTTGAGTGATAAGAAGCACATTTAATTTGTGTTGTGAAACCCTACTTGAGTGTGAAGTGAAAAATTATTTCACATTTTGGGCGGAGATTTAGTGAAGAAAAGCAAATAAATGTAAGTTAGGAGTGAAGAAACTAAAGACACGTACAGTAGTTTAATTCCAATGGAAATGGGTAGAGAGTGATTCAGTTGCAAGCCTGATTTGCATTGGCGAAGCTTTGAGCCTGTTTAGCGGCGGCGTCTTTAGAGACCAAAGCTTGGATTAGGCGAGTCTTGACTTCCCAGGCGGTGAAGTGATAGTGTGGCTTCCTAGCGTAGGAATTTAGCAGCGCCGCCGTGGACTCCTTCACCAGGCTGGCGAACACGTCGTCGCCGTCGTCGTTCCGCGACGCCGCCTCCAGCAGCGTCAGATCGTATCTGTACCGTTCGTACGCCCTCGATCCGAACACCTTCGACACCGTCGACATCTCCGGCACCATCCTCGGCCACGCCTCCCTCCGACTGCTCCAATACCTAATAATCAATCATACATACTCCCACATAAACACTTGCATTCAGATTTCAGATGAGATAACAGAGACGAAAGGAAAGGAAGATCTTACTGGGGAGTGCATCTTCCTCTGTTACGGGTGAAGAGAAATCCCGGCCGTCGCTGCTTCGCCATAGCCGTAGCTGCTCCAGCTCCAGAGCAGTAGAGGAAAGCGACAAGTAGTAGTAGTAAGAGCAAGTTATTCATGGCGGCACAAATCCTCCGCTTCGATCGGAGCTGCTAAATTAAGCTTCCATTCTCACTATGGCTGCTTAAATCCTTGTAATGTTTCGGTCGCCCTCGTAATTGATGCAAATTCAAAACTTCTTTTAACACTTATATTAAAAAAAAAAAAAGTAGGCATAAATTTTAAAAAAATTCTACTAACTAGACTCTCAAATCATACTCACTGATGTGGCGTAGGGATGTAAATGAGTCGAGCCACTCGCGAGCGGCTGAGTCAAAGCTCGACTCGAGATCGGTCAAAATCGAACTCGAGCAGCTCGTTTGATAATAAAGCTCGAGCTGAGCCTAGATATTCTAGGCTCGTAGCTCGTCAAGTCACTCACGAGCTGTATAATATATAATATTTATAATATATGATATAATATTATATAATTATAATATATAAAAATAACAATTAAAAAGTTCAAGATCAAGCACGAACTCGAGCTCGAACAATCGAGCTGCTCGAAAATTACCGAGCTCGAGCTCAAGCATCAGTTCTTTAGCTCGATCGAGCTCGAGCTCGGCTCGGCTCATTTACACCCCTAATGTGGCACATGATAGACTACTTTTTTCACGTGTATCCCAATACAAGTGTTTACGTCAAAATTTTGTGTGTGAGAATAAAAATTGAGAATAGAAAATGAGAATACATGTAATTTTTTCCTTATTAAAAATACTATTGTATTTTTATTCTCTACTCTTAGTTTTTCTTCAATACATAAAATTTTAACATTAACACTTTTATTAGAACTTGTATGAAAAACAAAAAAAATGTGTCCGAAAGTAAAATGGTAAGAATAAGATTTGAGAGTGATAAAGTACATGTAGGATAATTTTAATTTTTCTTTTTCATCCAAATTTTAAAAGTTTGGATATAGTAAACAAAAATTTGGGGTTCACGTGAAAATACTGTTTGTTTATTATTGTTTGTGGACGAAATATTTCTCATATTTTAATGAATGAGGACAGGGACGAATCTATCTTTGTTGATTTTGAAAGCAAGTACACATAAGTAGGGACAAGCCGGCAAGCTGACATGACATCACTCCCGATGATGAGTGTTACTGCATGTTAAAGAAAAAATAGTGTTATTATATTATATATGTACTTCAAAATCTTAGGACTCGTTTGCTTTGTGAAAATATTTTAGAAGAAATGAAATTTAAATATAAATTCATGGAAAAGTAATTACTAAAACGATAAATTTTATTGTTTAGTTGGTAAAAACAAATTATTAAGAATATTGATTTTATTGTTTGGTTAGATTTAGAATTGTAAGAAATAACAAATATAAATATTTATATGACCCTAACAAATTAATAAGAGTAATAATAATTAAGAAAGAACAGAAAATAAAAGATCATATCACTTCTTGGCGTCACAAATTCATATCCCGGGTGGGTAAGGAGATTCTCATTAAATGTGCGACACAAGTTGCCAATTTTTGCCATGTCTATATATCTTCTGCCTAAAAATGTCTATTCAAATCTGGAACGGTTGATGAACCGTTATTGATGGGACAATGGAAATGGCTTGAACCGTGGTGCCTCGTGGTTAAGTTGGGAATGCCTGTATTGATGGGACAATGGAAACGCCTCGTGGTTAAGTTAAGTTGTGGCTACCTATGACAGTCAAGGAAGCTTTAAAAAAAAATTGCTTCCTTTCTTGTCGTTAATATGCCTTTTGTCTTCAAAATTCGTTCCTCTATATTCACAATTTTTAACTCTATACTCACAATTTTAGAACTGAACATTCACAATTTTAGATATCAATATACAAAATTACATAACTAGATCTTAGTATACAAAATTACATAACTCAATATTCACAATTGCAGAAGTCTATATTCACAATTTTAGAACCCAATATACAAAATTACATAACTCATCAATATTCACAATTCCATAACTCCATATTCACAATTTCATAACTCTGTATTCACAATTAAAGAACTCTATATTCACAATAAAGAACTCTATATTCACAATTACAGAACTGAATATTCACTCGTTGAGTTGACTACAAAAACGGTGTGCCACTAATGATACCATTATTTTCACACGCGCAAATTACGTTGTTTTGAACCTAGATCCACCTTGCAAGGTGAACCCAAGTCCATGGGATAACTATCCCTAGCTTGAATAGCCAACTCGTATAACTAATGGGTCAATCTCCTTCCCCCTAAATTTTTCAAAATATATTTTGTAATTTTAATTAGTTCAGTATTTAAAAATATTATTCATTAAAAAAAATAAAATTGAACTCTTAACATTCAACTAATATAATCTTTGCAAGCCCAGTTAGTACTCTTAACCTTTCAACTAAGATAATCTTTGCAAGACCAATTATACCAACTCCCAACTTTTTCGGAAGAAACTTCATATTTGATTAATTAATTTCACAAAAGCAAAAAAATTAAAAAATCTAAAAAAAAAAAAAAAAAAAAAAAAAAGAGTAGAGACTAAAATTATCAAAATTTTAGCCTTACTGTTAACAAGCACTATTTGACATTGTCACTGAAATAATAGCTTTTTGAACAATGAACAGATACCATAATATAATAGAGTCCGTAGCTTTCAAAAAAAAAAAAACAAAACAAAAACAAAAACAAAAAATTTGAACATTAAAATTGTGCAGTACAATCGAATTACTATATACTTATACATTCCGAGAACCAACATGCATTTTAATCCAAATCCTCCCATTATATATTAATAATACAATATCCTTCTGAGATGAACCAAATATTTAGTATCACGCCCAAACACAATAAACAAGTACTTAATTTGGTACACTACTGACATTAAATTTAGCACGTTCAGATATTACTATTACTACTACTACTGACCTCTATTCCTACTTCTCCTTGTAGTATATACACCATACCAAGCATGGCTCTGACGTTGAAATTTCGAGTTACAGCAGTCAGAACTGGTCATGATTCACGGTACTTGGTCAAATCGAATGTCAGCGTCCTTGAGCAACTGGGGCGAAGGAAAAATAGAGATCACTGAGCATGTATGTATATTTTGTTAAAGAATGAAATGAAACTAGTAGAGAATCGCGAGAGAGAACCTCACCTTCTATCAGAATCTCTATACACACCGACCAGAGCTTCAGCTTTGTCATAAAAGCTATCCTTGAGAGATATCACAATACTTTGAAACCCACACCCTTCATCGGTGTCCACATTAAGCCGGGCTCCCTCACATGATTTTGATCTAATAAATCCCGCAACCTTGGCAACATTTAAATTATCCAATGCAGCATCCACTTCATCCAATATGAAGAATGGTGAAGGCCTAAAACTGAAAATTCCACACCAGAAACACATCGAACTACAGTTTAGACAACATGTAGATAACTCCCATTGCAACTTGGATGTGAAATAATTTCAAACAAGGTATATATATATATATATATATATATATATATATAGACTCATGATCAAATGAGTCCACCCCTCATGAGTCCGTGTGGACAGATCTGGGCCATTGAATGCTTGAGATCAATGGCTTAGATTTTGCCAGCTGTGCATCGCAAACTGTGCAAGTGAAGTGCACAGTTGGCAAAATCTAAGTCATTTCAAGCATTCAATGGCCCAGATCTGTCCACACGGACTAATGGGAAGGGGTGGACTCACCTGAACAATGGCCTATATATATATATATATATATATATATATATATATATATATATATATATATAAATTATTAAAATAAACCGATGAATACTCAGATTGGCTTGTAAAAAAGATAGAACCCCAACATTTCACACAGAGTAGGTCATTTTTTAACGACACAAGGAACTCCATGTCAGGAGAAGCATACCTGTGGATAGCAAAGAGCAATGCAAGTGCAGCTACAGTTTTCTCTCCACCAGATAGATGTTCCATTTCACGATAACGCTTTGTTGGTGGCATTGCAGTGTACTTAATGCCATGTAAGTATGGTTCATCTTCATTATCCAAGTTGAGATATGCTGTGCCACCAAGGGGGTGTGTGCTGCTCTTTGTGAGTTGTTTGTAAATTTTGTCTATATTGCCAGATATATGATTGAAAGCCTTCATAAACAATTCATACCTGACAATGAGAGTCAAAGACTCAATATTTACAATATTCAAACAGATTGAAATACAGAAATAGGACAACAGATGATACCAAACACACACTATTGGAAAATAATCACAATTTTTTTAAGCATGCACACAATTTTAGCATTGAAATAAGACAATCCCAATTTCATCCGCCTAGGTGACACATTGACACCCTGCTAGAAAGATGGGAGCCAAGTACTCTCTTTCTAATTGAAAGAGTTGAAACAGATTACTTTTCTGTGAAGTGGGAGGCCCCAGCCTCATTAAGGATTCCCAATTAGACCACCTTCATACCATACAAAACTACACAGATATTTTCATATTCCACCCCCAGAGATGGGCAACTCTACAGCCCATTTACTATTCTGCACCAAGATGGGACAGCAAAGTTGATGAGAAGTTAATAAAGTAGCAAATTTTAATGTAAAATGTATGAAAACATTTCGAAGAACAGTGGAGAATTGGAGATGAATCATACCTTGTCTCCTTCACTCTGTTGTACTCATCAGTTACCTTCTTCTCTTCATTCTTTGCCTCTTCAAATTCCTTAGTAACAGCATCTTCTTTCTGCCGCAGAGCCTCATATTGATCAAGGGCCTTCAGATTCGGAGCAGTTCTTTCAATATCTGACATCAGTGTAGATATTTTCTGAGAAAATTCTTCTTCGAGTTTCCCTCTATTCTTTTTCTCCTTATTTGCTCTACTGAGTCCACTGAAATCAAAAACAGGACCAGGAGTTGTCTCATCTGTATCCATTGGATCAGAGATAGTCGGAATGCTAATATGCTCTAATTCACACTTCTCCAATATCTCTTGCTTCCTTGAATTCAACTGTTCTATCTGTGCCTCCTGTAAACCCCCAGGAAGAATGTATTAGTATTATCTTTTTACCCCTTTTCCATCTGTAGCTTTATGATTGTTGAATCTTCAATGCATCTGTTAGTTTATGCATGAAAATTTGCAAGACAGTCACTAATAACACCAACCTCTGATTTTATTGTACGATTAACTTTGCCAATGGTTGTTGTTGCAGCGGATATCTCTTTCTGCCATTCCTGTATTTCCTTTTCACAATCTTCTGATTTGGATTTCCACGCTACACAAAAAAGGACTTATAAATCCTTTGATGATTAAGATTATTGAATTACAATTATTATAACAGTTCAGGAAAAAAAAAAAGTATAAATAGAATAAAAACTTTTTACATCCATTGCTTGAATCTATGCTCCTCAATCATTTTGTCATTCTAGAAAACTGCCGGTATGGAGTATTTAGTAAGGAGGAATTTCACTCATGTACCATTTATGTTGGACTTTTAGATTTTTAACTTTTGAGCCGAGTCAAATAGACAAATAGTACTTTTGTAGTATCATAATATAATTATGTTAGTTTTCAAAACCTGAATTTACCAATATCAAAACATAAAAGTGAAATTTGGTCAAATTAACTAAGAAAATAGCTAAAGTGACAGTGAATAATCTGTAGGGAGTATTTTTAGCATCAATCTCCAATTTTTAGTCATACTAAAGCACACCTGCTTGCATTTGTGTACATTATATATCTTCAATGTCAATTGTTTTTACATGCATATACGTAAGATCTCAATAGCCAAAGCCTAAGAAATAACTAGAAGAACCTTATTCAGAGCAACATAAATAAGTTCATGAATTGTTTCCATTTTTTATCGCATGTTGCCATCAACTTGATCCCCAAGCATTATTTTTGCCACATAACCCACATTTGGTCTTTCCAACCAAACCTCTAGTAGAAAACCCGATTACATATTTACATCATGTTTCCAATTCAAAACCATATAGTTTCTCCCCAAAAGTGTCAAAGTGTTGAAGCTGTTATGGTTCTGAACTAGAAATGTGATGAATTCTGACTGGTTTCTACCAAATGTGACAAAAGTAATACTTGAGGATCAAATGTAGAAGTGACCTATTAGTCATGGGACCAAAAGTGAAAATAATTCTAAAGTTGATTTACATACCTGTTACTTCTTCTTTGAAATGCTTAATTTCCTTACTTGCCGTTTCTATTGTTGATTTCAGTTCCTTCTCACTCTCCTCAACCTCTGACAAATCATTCTTTAACTTGATAAGTGTTGCCCCCAATTTGGTAATCCTTGAATCCATGTCCCGCTTCTGCTCATACTCCAATCTGGGAATTGATATATTATTAATATGTATTGCATTACAGTAACAAATCAGTATGTCAAAGCTGCAAACTCTCCAAGTGTTCTTAAGATGATAGGTTCAAACTATCCCCCATCCCCACAGATTATGCATGAAGAGAGAGAGAGAGAGAGAGGACAAACTGCAATACAACTGGTTAAACACTTAATCATTAAGCAAAGTTATACCTCTTAAATAATTAACATGACCACTAAAATAATCCTTAATGTGAAGTTAAAACTTAGTTTACACTCAACATTGCTGCACATATTCGAACTTCTCATGCATGGATGATCAGCAGTGCAACAAATCAATGGCCACAAACAAGTTGTGTGGGGATCTATTATTCTATTATTCCATGTCTCAGGGAACAATGATTACACTCTTGACTATCCCAGTTTGAACCTCAATTACATAGATGGACTGATGAACTAAGTCAACAGAATAATTCTGCCAATTTGTGAGTAGTTATGCCAAGTTTTATGGTTATAATATAATGTTTAATAGTCTACACCAATGCAGGGTACAACCCAAAAGTACATAGAACATGTAGAAAAAATAGATGAGCAGAACGCTAAGACACTATGCAAGGTTGAGCATATCCATAAAAATATAAAATCAATCAATGAACCGGAGCCTTTGCTTTGGTGAAGGAGAGATGTGTTTTATGGTTATATTGTAATGTGTACACCAATTAAGTATGTAAACCGATCCTTATGGCAGAGGTCATAAAAGCTTCCTGGATTGCTTATAGCAGCAATCTCCTCTCCTCTCTGATATTTTACTTGTGGAACTAATCAGGAAGTACAGAATTCAACTAAATCATCAAGGATGATCACAAATAGAAGATAAGGCTAGCATCACCATAACATATAAACTCAGGCAAAAAAACATACTGATATTTAATCTTTGATTGCTGATTGTGCAGGCTAAGCCTTTCTTCAGCCATCTGCTCTACAGCTTTGAGCTGGTTTTCTTCATACTCACGAATATTTTTCACCCCAACAGACTCACTGAATCTCTTATAGATGCGATCAACAATGTCATTGATCCTCTTCTCTCGAGACAGGATCTCTTTACTCCTTTCACTGATGGCATTTTCCAACTGCAGAAAACCAAGAGTGAGTTGTATAGTATAATAGCTGCCACATGATCATGCTCCTAAAGAGAGGAAGAAAGAGCACTACAGACCTTTTTAAGTTCAGGCTTCATGCGATCAATCTCATTTTCAATGGTTTCCCTTTCACGATTCAAGTTTGTAAGTTTATCAGCAATACTTTTCTGCAAAAAAATATGTAAATAACTAATATAGTCATAACAAGTAGGGAAAAAAAATTCTAGGAAGAGATTAACCATATATGAAGAGTTATCCCTGATTTAATCATCAACAGATTTGAGGACTGAAAGCATCCAGAGTGAAACCTGTGATCTTCAATCTCTCATCCAACAAAAAAGTCCAACATACTAATAAAAGAACCGATTCACTTGTCTAAGCTATATTAAATTCAATTCTACATTTGAAGTTTGAAGTTTGAACTAAATACCAACATGGACTACAAACTAAATAAAATTGGTGACAGCAAGGAAGCTAACCAACAACCCTAAACTTTATCTATTACTCCTGTATTCCAAAAAGATTGCCTAGTTTCATTTCTCAAGAGTCAACATAATCTAATTTTGACCAATTTTTTAAAACATATTTCTTTAAAACTCTGAATTGTGATTCTTAAAATAAGTGATGCATAATGTATAGTTCATAATATCTAATTTTTAATTTCAAAAGTTGAGCTTAAGAGTATTAAAACTTTTTAGACCAATCAACCTAAAGCACTAAATACAACAAAGTGGGACAAATGGAGCATTTAATACTAGGCTGGTCAAAGTGTGATGAATTAGAAGCACTTGGCAATGTTAATCAGTTAATTTACAATTTAAACCAATATCTAGCAGCACATTTCTCTTCACCAAATGCATAGTAGTAAGAGAAGATTCATGGAAATTAGAAATGTGGCGCAATTTACTCCATTAACCTGTTCAATTTCTGTATAGTGAATTTTCCTTTCAAGCCCCGTGATTTTGCCAGATAGTTCTGACTCCTTGAGATTCATCTCTCTAATTGAACCAAGATCCTCCAACTGCGATTCAAGTGCTTCCTTTTTCTTCTTCAGTCCTGAGACCAAAATTAAACATTTTGCAACAAAAGCAGAAGTATTTAGATACACTCCATTTAGGGGTGTCAATGCGGGCCGGCCCGCCCAGCGGCGGGCTAGAAATTTGGCAGGCAAACTCACGAACCCTAACCCGCCCCATGCGGGTTGGCAGGCGTCACGGGCCATCCCACAGGCAAACTTAGAATTTAAATAAAAATACTTATATTATATTACATACTATATTTTAATATATAAATAGGAAAATTCATATAAGTTTTAATTTATACGTACTATAATTTGATGGATAATGATGCTTTAATTATAATCATAAATTTGTACTAACTCTTTTTATACAAAAGTATTAATTTATATTTAGGGATAAGGGTCAAATAGACCCTTGAACTATAGGCAAAAGTGCAATTAGACCCTTCAACTTGAGATTTTGAGTCAAATAAGCCCAATTACAGATTATTCACCTGCAATAACCGGTCAAAAATTTCCGGCGACATTTCCGGTAAGAATTCTGCCGAAATAATCCGGCTGGCGACCAAAAAAAATTGACCGGCGCCTCGGAGAAGGCGACCGGACTGGGCGCCTTCTCACTGGAGAAGGCGCCGGTCAATTTTATTTTATTTTTTTGTCGCCGGCCGAATTTTTCCCCGGAATTCTTACCGGAAATTGTTGACCGGTTATTGCAGGTGAATAATCTGTAATTGGGTTTATTTGACTCAAAATAACAAGTTGAAGGGTCTAATTACACTTTTGTAAAGTTGAAGGCCTAATTGCACTTTTGCCTATAGTTCAAGGGTCTATTTGACCCTTATCCCTTATATTTATATTATACACAATACAATGAACAATAATGTATAATATGAATATTTTAAAAATATTTGAATGTAATAATGAGTTATAACATTTCTATTAAAAAAAATCAATTTTATTAAATACTAGCCAGGCCCGTGAGGCCCACTTCCTCGCGGGCCAAAAAATTTCAACCCTAACCCGCCCCACGGTGGGGCGGGTTAGGGCCAGCCGCGGGCCTCAACCCACTTTGACACCCCTAACTCCATTGCACATACCATCAACTTTTTTGTCATCCCATTTATGAGAGCGTACTTCAATACTAGAGCTTGTACCACCCGTCATTGTACCCGATTTTGTCAACAAAATCCCATCAATAGTCACAACTACAAGCACAATGCAAGATATTAGTATAAATGGATTTATGGTAGTAGGAATAAAAGGCTCCTTACCCAAAAAAAAAAAAAAAATGCATTTAAGATTTTACCCTTATGTCTATCTCCACTCCAGCTAAGACGCTTGGCCTCATCAAGCGTATCACAAACTAAGGTATTACCAACGGCAAATACTATTGCCCTCTCCAATGTTGGATCAAATCTGGTACTGTTAAGCACATAACCTCAAAGCATCTGTTTGGATTTTGATTTTATATTTTATAGGAAAGGATAGAACAGATGCATGTTTTACAATGAATCAAACAAAAAAGATATAGAGAATCCTACAATCTACATATAGATTATAGAGACTCCTACCTGTCTCATGTAATAAAACTAAAGAACTTGGTCAGGACATCATGCACAAATTTTTATACTATTGCCATAACTCAATAAAAAGAGCATGACTTTACCAAATTCACCGAGACTAAGAGATCTTGAGTATGATGGATAGTCAAATAACAAAGCAAAGGCAGAAGTAACTGGATGGTTTAAACACAGAAACAAGAAGAATGTATATAAAGGGATAAATCCTAGCATATAAAAAGAATTGTAGAGCAAGAGGATACTGGATTACATCAAACACCAGTTTAGCAGTTCCATTTAATGCACGTAGCCTCTCCATTACTGGTTTTACACGTACAGATTGAAGCGGAATAAATGTCTGGGGAGGAAGCTTTTGATCCTTTAAATACTGTAGGCAGGCAAGTAGACTACCGTAAGTCCGTAAATTTAACAGAATTAATCATTTACATAATACAGTTACTCAACAGTAACATGTACCACCTTCCTTGTAAATGAAGTTATTCTAGATGATTTACATCATGTGAGTCCAGGCACAAAGCATTCATGCAAAGGATTGCTAGGAAAATATGGTTACTGCTCATACCTTGATACATTCTTTGCCTGTGTGTTCATCTTCAACAACTATAGCATCCATAAATCTGCCCATAGCAACAGTTAAAGCAAGATTGTACCTCGTTTGTATAGGCTTACAGAGATCAATCATGCGACCACGAACACCAGGAAAGAGATGCTTCAAAGTATGAACTGCTTGAGAAATTTTCGTATCTCTCTCACTTTCATGTCGGTCAGCCTTCAGCTCACGTAGTTGATTTTCTACATCATCAATTTTCGCCTTCAACATTTCATATTTGCGTCTTCACCAAAAAAGAAAGATCACATTTTACAAATAAGGAGCATATATAGTAAACAAGTCATTTTTTTATGTACAGAGATTATGAAATCAATAAGCAGCTAGAGCCATTGCACTATCCGTAGAAAATAACTGTTGGAAAATTGAGATGAGTGACCTGGAATCTGCATGTTTATCTCTCATCTCACGCTGTTCCTTAATTGCTAGTGTTAGTTCTTCTTTGTGTTGTTTGACTTCCTCAATCATTTTTTTCAATCTACTTCGCATTTGTTTCTCCTGAGACTCCAGCTCTTGCTTCCGATTTTCCAACTGTTGAAGATTTTCTACCAAATTCTTTTGAGCCTCAATATCAGCATTTTGTTTCCTATCTAAGATGTCCTTTTCATCCCTTAGTTTTGCAGTTTTCATGCCAGCTTCCTCCTTGCTGCAAAAAAATAAAAAATAAAACTAAAATAAAATATAAAAAAAAAATCCCAGGTTTTTTATATCCTAATACGAGATCTGCTATATGTGATGCACTCATTATACCTAACCAAAAATAAATAAATAAATAAATAAGACTCTAAAGGGATTTATAAAGTTACATCATTATATGCAGAATGGTAACTTCTACAAGTTTCAAAATTAAACTTTTCACAGAAACAAAAACCAACAATTGTGGCTAGATATGACAAAGGTATATTTTGATTATTTTCAAATTTAAAACAAGGATGGTCATAATCACAATATTAGATTCTTTCAGATGAAACAAGAGGTAAGAGGATTGAAAATAAAGATGGACAATACAATAAATGAATATAAATAAAACAGAACAAAATTTTAACATGACTCCATTTAATGAGTGGCGTGTAAAGGCAGTAAAGCAAAAGCACTACTTTTTGGATTTCGAACTCCATTCCACAGTCAAAAGCAGTAGAAATACAATACATAAAGCATGTGAATTGGAAATAAGAGGGAATTCAAAATCATTAATATTCTAATTTTAATGATTTTTATTTAAACAATACAATTTCAAAACGTCTCACCAAAACAAAAAAACAAAAACAAAAAAAAAAACAAAAAAAAAAACAAAAAAAAAAAAAAAAACAATTTCAAAACATGATACCAAAACTTGAAAATATCACTTGAAGTGCATCTTTCTTGTGTGTGGGGGGGAGAGGGGGAGGGGTGGGGTGGCGGCTTCTAGGCTAACCTCAATCTTTCTGATACTAACCCATTTTCTAGAAGTCATAAATGAAATGAAAACCGTCAAAGCGACACTTATCTAGTAAACATCTTATGAGTTAAATTAGATGAGCTTTATTTTAAAAACTACAGTTATACAAGTCTAGTGATGTCTTTTAATAGAGCATTGAACTTACTCTTTGGGGAATAAATAAATGCCTTCAGATCAGTAGAAGAAAATTTTGAAATTAGAAATTTAGTAGAGAATAAGTGTAAACTACCAGTCCCTTATTAAAACACTGATATAGTTGTGCCTCTTGACAACAAAGCCTTTTATCATATTTAATTAACACCACTGTAGAATTTGATGGAAAGGTGCATTCCTTAAAATCTTTTCCAATTCTGGTCCAGTTGAAATTCTAACCAGATGACAGATTCCCATAATGCATCTTTAACTAGATATTATCCTTGTAAGCAAAAGATACATTTTGAAACGGCATTTTTCACATTATGGCATCATGCATTCTGACTAAAAAAATGTTGATACATGCATGATAATATAGCAAAAAAAGCAGGACTCACATTTGATGATATGTCTCCAGCTGACTGTCAGCCAATTGAAGTTTCCCACCTGCATCATGACTTTTTTTACGCAATTCATTCAGTTGCTCAGTGATATCTAGAAGGTCTCTCTCAAGTTTCTGAACCTCGGCAGCATGCTTTTTCTTTTCTCCCTGTCTCTTTTCTAGCTCTTTACTGGTGCTTTTAATTTTAGAATTAATGCGAGATGCTTCTTCCTTCTTTTTTACAACTTCTGGTTGCTATACAAATAAAAGTTCAAAGAATTATTAGTGTTATACTTCATTATTTTACCACAAGATTGATAACACAGAAACCTGGCGATTAAAAAATATTTTAAAACATGCCATGCAAAAATAACAACTTAAAAGTTGCACCCACTATGGGTTTTGATACCCATTACCAAGTTTGTTTGCCTATTTTTGTTATCCAACTATTGGATTCAAATCCTTTAGTAATTACAAAACTCATTACCCTTTTAGGCTTTTACTCCTCTACTTTTGAACTATGTGTATATATATATATGTATTATATTTTTTTAATATATTTATTTATTTTTATTTTAATTAATTATATATTTATTTATTTTGATTCCAATTCCTATTTACTACCAAACAAAGAGAGTCCTCCTACTTAAACCCATTAGCATTACCAAGTATTTGATTCCCATTACCATTCCGATTCCAATGTTTGAACCAAACACACCCTTAGTGAGGTCGATGCATCATCTAACAAAATTCTAAAAAGTTCCAAATAGCAGAAATTTAAAATAATTCACATCCATGTATTAAAGTACTAGTGCAAGACTTCACAAAAGCATTAGGCATTCACCCTTCACTTGATTTAATAATTGAAGAGTGGAGACTGGAGTGTGCATACACTACAGAGGTATGGCCTCAAATTAGATATGCAGAGCAAAGATTTAAATCAAGTTTCAAGTACAAGAGCATATATATCAAAATGCAGAAAAGAGAAAAGGAAGATTAGGTAATCATACACTCTTGTCAAGTTTATTCTTTTTGTCTGCAATCTTCCTCTCATACAATGCAACTTCTCTCATGTATCCACTTAGTTCTTTCTTCTTTTCTCTTGCTTCATTTTCATACTTTTCCAGTTCATCAACAATTTCCCTTCGTCTTCTTTCTTCAGCTTCGAGGTCTGTAGTTGCCTCTGTAATATCATTTTCTATATTGAATAATTGCCACAGAAAGTGCTCTTGCTTCAATTTTTTCTGCAAAAGAGAGGAATGGCAGAGATTAACAGCATGGGGCAAACACAAAGGGGACATTAAGGCAGAGAACAGGACTACACATGTATAGGCCCGACCTTCATGTTTTGCAGATTAGACACTTTTGAGTCCATGAAAAGTTGACTAGTAACTAACTCTACTATTCTAGGGTAATAACAAAGTAATTAGCTTCCCCTTCAAAAAAAAAAGTAGCCATGAGCAAAAATTAAAAATTCTTCCGTAAATAACCACCAAAATGTTAGCATATTTTTCATAGATAGCAAAATACGTTGTATTTGATGAATTGATGCCAAAATAATTTGTTAAATCTCTCATTATAAACACTAACCAAACATTCAAACTTATGTTAGGAGAAGCAGTTAGCAATCAAACAGCATAACCAGTAGCAAAACACAACTATGATGCTTCTTCCTCTGATAAAAGATCAAGAAGCCTGCACGCAAAAGGTGTTAATAAAACTCTGAAGCCATACCAGCTCCTTTTGTAAGCGAAGATGTCTTTCTGCCTCTTCCTTCTGTTCCTTCTTCTGTTTTCGCTCCATATTTACTGTTTTCTTCCTCTGATAAGCAAGTGCCTTCTTTTCTTCAGCTCTAGCTTTTTCCTCTTCTAATTCCTCATATCTTCTCTTGAATTCCTCAGACCCAGATATTTGCTCAAGCAAAGCTGTAAGCTCTCTAGGATTTTTAGATGCAATTGACTCCACATCACCCTGTATAAAATAACAGTTAATCAAGCACACACAAATTTACAGAAATCTCATCTTGTTACATTCAACCAAAAGCAAGAAAACCTTGGATTTTAATATTAGGCTGCAGAATAAATCTCTAGATCACTAATTCAAGGAAATTTTAATTTTAATTTTCTTTAAAAAATTAATTTATTCTTTGTTTCCATCTGAACATACAAATTCGAAGTTTTTCACCCTTACTCCTCATCCATACAGTTATTTCACAACCCTCTCCGGATTATACTCTCAGGAACTAGTACCACAATCCTTATGTACCTTTGCTCTTCCAACTTCATGACCAAGGTGAAGGCAAAAAAAGCTCAATTACCAAAAATGAAATACAGGTGTATAATGAGTTCCAAGTAAAAATGAATAATGATAATAATAAAGGGGTGATAAGTAGAAAATTTCAAAAGAGAAGATATTGGCATGATTGGTAATGCGCAAAACAACCTGAAACACAAGAAAGTTCCGTGCTTTAACAAGAATATCAAGGGACTTCAATTTGGCATTGTATTCGTCCCAGTTGACCACCTTTCCATCAATCCGGTACTCGCTGCCACCCGCACTAGTGATAGTGCGGGTAAACTGAATTTCAGTACCACTAGCCAACTGATAGACCATCCTAACAAAAGCTTTCCTGCCCCTCTGCTCCTTCTCACGATCATCAAATGCGTAAATAAGATCTCTCAACTGCGCGCCACGGAGTTGGCCAGTGCGGACGCCAAGGACGAAGCTGATGGCGTCCATGAGGTTTGACTTTCCGGCGCCATTGGGGCCAATGATGGCTGTGAAGTCGTAAAATGGGCCAATTGTTTGGAATCCCTTGTAGGATTTGAAATTCTCAAGCTCCAACCGGTGGATTTTGCCGGGGGAGGGTTGAGACGGCATCTTGCGGTCGGGGAACTGAACGTAGAAACCAAACCCTAGGTGTTGTCAGAGAACTGAGAAGTTTATTTAGGAGAAATGGAGATTGAGAGTGGAAAATTGATTGGTAAAGTTGGAAATTAGGGCTCGAAACTCGAAAATGTAGAAAGGTTTTGGCGGGTAAGTATATGGGAGAAAATTTAGGACAGTGAGGGAAGTATCTAGTTAGCTACCATCTTCGAGTTCGAAGCGCAGAGATGGAAATACGGACTTATATGGTAGTGCTCAATTTTTATTTTTTAAGGATAGCGCCGTGTAGGCCAAGCCCGCCTTTTTTGAGTACTATCGTAAAATACCAAATACTTATAATAGTTAATACCCAAAATCGTCCTCGACTATAGTGGTTTTTCTCAATTTCGTTCTAAACGACTATGGTGACCTAATATCATCCTAAACTTTTGTGTTTCGCTCAATTTAGTCCTCCATTTGTTATTCCGTCAAATTGGTGTTAAATTAAGGGATAATTCAGTAATGTCAATATTGATCTCTCTTTACTTTCAACTTGTGAAGTGCGAAATTCCTTTTTCTTGTACGAATTACACCCAAAATTACTCCCGGACCTGCAAATCAAATTTTATATTCGCAGTTTTAGGAGTAATTCTGGGAGTAATTCGTAAAAAAAAAGGATTTCGCAGTTCACATGTCTATGAGTAAAGAGATGTCATATTAAAATTACTGAATTGTCTATTTATTTAACACCAAATGGACAGAATAACAAATGAGGGACTAAATTGAGCAAAAACACAAAAGTCTGGGACTAAATTGAGGCGAAACACAAAAGTCTAGGACAATATTAGGTCACCAAAGTCGTTTAGGACGAAATTGAGAAAAATCACTATAGTCGAGGACGATTTTGGGAATTAACTCAATAAAAAACTAAAGAAATAAGTGTCAAATAGGATATTTAATTACGCACCAAACTGCAATTAGATCATTTAATTAAGTAAAGAGTTAATTTTTATGAAAGTTCTTTATTTTTTGTGACAATTCTAAATTTAGTTTCAGACTATCATTTTTGTCATTTAATATTTCAGACTATTGTTTTTTGGACACTTTTAATTTTTTTATGACTTTTTCTATTTTTAATAAGGGCATTTTTGTCTCTTCATAAATTTTTTTTCAATTTTAATCAGTTTAATTGATTTAGAACTTTAGGTAACCTATGATTTTTAATATTACTTTGCTTTCTAATTATGTTAGATCATCAATATTTAATTGTTGGATAAAGACAATACAAGTTTTATCACTTTCTCACTATGTACTTTTTTCATTATTTCATAGCAATTTTAACTATTTTATAGTGCATTTTTAGCATTTAGATCATGCACTTTTAATCTTTTATCCTTTCCATATTATGCACTTTTGTTCTACCAAAAAAAAAAATATGCACTTTTGTTATTCTTATAGTACAACATACTTTTACCTATTTTATATATAGTGCATTTTTTTCATTTTTTATACTGTACTTTTAAACTATTTTATAGTACATTTTTATCTTTTTTATAATACAATTTTAACTAATTTATAGTATAATTTTATCTTTCTTGTAATGCACTTTTACTATTTTTTACTAGTCCTCTAGCTGGTGCTGCGTAAATATGCATTGTTTTTTTTTCTTGGCTTTCTCTCTCTTCCTCACTCTCTTTCGTACATGGTATGACAAAAATCACCAAAAAACTAGTACTAGTATGGATGTGTTGGTGATAATGAACCACAATCGATTAATATCCCAAAAATAATATTTATATATACACACACAAATATATAAAATATTATTGGATATTTATCCGAAATATATATATACACACAAATATATATAAAACGGATCCAAAGGTTATATATACATGTATATCTACGAAAAAGATATACCAATATATATCAACCAAAATTGAAACTAATAATCCTCAGATTATAAGTCCAATCCAACTAATATATCAAAAGAGGGATAACGGATTTTTGCTTAAAAGCATAATCCAAAACAAGAAAGAAGGAGAAGGAAGAAAGAATTGTACGAGTTAGGCGAGTGCCTTTCTTTCCTTAAAACCTTATTTGCCACCTCCCAAAAGTGCTAGGAGCGTTGTGACCTAGGTTTCCCCAGGATAAAACGTACAACAGTTCGACGTTTGAGCACCTAAACAAACGAACCCGGCGAACAAGAGCACGGGCAAACACACAGCTTCAAGAATGGAGTAGAAGCAGAAGTATTTTGATGCTGGAAAAATTATTTTTCTTGTGTGTTAAAAAAAAGCTACTGTTCAACTCCTTCTTATATAGGGAATGAAGAGTGAATAGCTTTTATTATGTCATTTAGGGGCATCCCTACAACTCCTAACAGCAACTATTAACATGGGTTTTATTCAAAAATTAAAATTGAAATTAATTCAAAGAATTAATCCCATAACAGCTGAATTAAATCCCAACAGTCACAAACAGGAGCTTCAGGTCGAACTTTCGGCCTAAGTAGTAGCTTCGGCCATCAAGCCGAAACCACTACTTTCGGTTTGGCCAAAGTTGGCACACGAAACAAATGCAATTGTTTCATGTTTCATTTCGTGGCCACGGTGGCACACGAAAGTGAAACAATTGTTGTTTCATTTCGTGGTGACACCAAGGTGGCACACGAAACAGTGAAACCAAGTTTCACTTCGTAGCTGCCTGAATTGGAAAATGAAAAATGGCATTAACTTAGCGCACACAAGATTAGGCTTGATCCAAGCCTTTTCGATCTCATTCTGGAATTTGATTTGCACCCCTTCGCGCGAGAGAGAGTTTATATGCTATACAATTTAATAAGCTTAAAAAGAGCTCATGTATAAATAGCGGGGCAAATCCTCTTCCCAAACCAATGTGGGACAAAAGCTCACTTTTTCCCTTCATTTTCCAACTCAAATGGGTCTACTTTGAAAATCAATATCTCATTCACCCATTATCCGTTTTGAGCGTACAATATATCAATCTCTTGGTCTCACTACGAAGAACCCGAATCCACTTTGACCCGACCCAAATCAGAAGTGGACCCTACTGATAATTGTACCACAAAATAACCACTTAAAATGTCATTTTAAGCTATTTTTTCCAACAGGATGCTCTAACTATATCGACTCTGTCTCTCACATACTCAATCTTACTCGTTCAGTGTTTTTGTATTGGTGGAATCCTTGTTTATGGTAGTTCGTGAGTTTGTGAGATTTGGAGAAATACATACACAAGTGACCGGTGACTAGCTGAGATTTGTAAGGCTTGAAGCTTGATTGTGGTGAAAGCCCAAAGGTCCTAGTTTTCCAACATAAAAGTAAATCGTAAATTCTAATTTTCATTTTATGTTGTATTAAAGTATATATTTTCTACTAGTCCAAATGAGTAAAGTATAATTCTCATATCTGATATTATAGATTTAATTCTTGCTAATACTCTCGTAACATGTAACTTGCGATATTAGACAGTAACTTACCAGTAATAGACGCAATATTAGACAGTAGGTTACTAGTAATAGACGCAATGTGTCTTACAAACCTATCTTCGCTGCGTCAATTCATAATCAAGTTGAGTTAATACTTGATTTAGTCTCGCGACTATTAGAATTTCACCACTTTAGTCATTTGACTTTAAAACTTACTCAATTTTATCCATAACTATGTAATTGTTAACGAAAATGGTCCTAATAAGAGCTATTTTAGTTTGGACAAAAAGACTTTTTTATGTAAAAATTGCATAATTAAGAATGAAATTGAACAAGTGTGAGAGCCAAGTGAAGTCCTAATAGTATTAACTCTAATCAAGTTACTAAAAAAGATAAGTCAAAAGCTAATAATGCGTGTAAAATACCTAAAGAAAAAAGGTTTGGGCTTTTGAAATCAGCAATGAGAGAACTATGGAAATCCGCTTGATTTATTACAAAAATAAATACATACATATAACATATGGGAATCCAAACTCCATAATAAGACTCATGCCAGGGAAAAGAAGATTTTACACTACTAGTACTTCCATTGTGATGATTATTTGACAACTACTTGATGCAGACTGTTCAATCTTATTTTAGTTTTTCTAAAGCTAGCACCTACAACTAACTATTAGACAACCGGATCAGAGTGCAATTAACCCCCATTAAACCTTATTATTCTCGGGAAAATCTGGCTTATCAGCTTCATGGCCAGACCTCGTTTCTTCTGAGGAATCTAATCCATGGGCTGTGCTTGTAGCTTGGACTGGCAACTGTATATGGGGTTCTTTGACATCACCATCACTAGGCACTTCCCTTCCAACATCACCACCGGAACCCGAGGCATCCTTAGTCGCTTCACTTTCAACATTACTTGTTTTAGGCGGTTCGCCTCCTGAATCCAGGGCTGCTTCCATTTCTGCGTATTTGGAAATGACTTTCTGAATTTCATCGTGAAGGTTCAGAGCTTCAAACAGCATCCCCTCATCATCAGAGGTGATTTCTATGATCCTTCTAATAACTGCAAGAGACTGCTTGCAATTCTCCAACATGCTTACTGCCAAATCGTCCTGAGAAAGCACAAATGATCTTTTTAGCAAATGTTCATTCTTGTTCCCTATTCCAATTCCTTTAGCACACTAGGATCTCAATCAAAACTATCCAAGAGACTAGGCAATGAGACAAATATCAAGGCCTACTGGTAAATGAATATGTTACCAAAAACAATGAAAGCAGGGGGTAACCCTAGCCAAGATGGCAAAGGATACAAACTTGTAACCACAAGGTCACGAGTTCAAATCCCAACCTTTTAGGTTTGAGCAACCTAGGTTGGTTTACCTCCTTTTGATCTTTTGCTGGCTAGGGTCACAAGGCGGGGTTTACCTAGTCCACCCCCTCAGGTAGTGGCTATGGGTTTCCTTCGTCACCCCAAAAAATACAATGAAAGCAAGCAGAATTTTCGCCTTTTCGGGGGAAACAAGACTAGCAGAGGAGTATTACCAAATAACTGAATAGATACCATTGATATGGGTTCGGAGGTAGTAGTCTAACCTTGATGGGTTTTGGTTCAACTTCAGAGTTCAGTATGCTGGAAAAGATATCCAGATTGTTGCGTGCTATTATGAGAAATTCTCTCTTTTCTTCAACAGACCCACCACCATAATCAATGGAGCTTACATGCTCTTGGTTCTGCAACCCTGCTTCAGGAAAAGGGTAATTCTCCGGTGGTGATACTGGCGGTTGATTGATGTATGACTCCAAGGGGTACTGCATGGGGGAAGCGTTCCCATCTTGCACTTCTAGAGGTATCCTTGTCTTCAAGTTCTAAATGAGCAAAGAAGAAAATTAGAGTAAAGGTAATTGACGGTATGCCCCATCTTAACTAAAAGCCTAAGCTGATAAATGGTTACTTTGGATCATAGCCTCTTTTTATTGAGTGACACAGAGATTCAAACCCATGACCCAAATTAAAACATGTGCTCCATTTCAACTAAAAGCCTAGACTAATAGTTGGACTGCACATTTAGGTTATATATTATATGCTCAAGATCACCTAAATCTAAACTCAGGTATATATGGGACAGAATACACTAATTGGAGACTCAAACTCCATATTTAAGTTCACTTGATCTAAAGTCAAGTAAAAGGGGAATGGATATTGCTTCTGCATCCTCCCTTAGCACTAAGCTCCATTGTATTACTGGTGATTATCTATGGACAACACCTAATTTAAACCCCAACATCATTCTTTCTTTCAAGGAACTCATGAATACCTCACAACATATCTATTGAATTTTAAATCTTGGCCTTAACGTTTTGACCAAGAATTTCAAAAAATTTCCCCCAAAGTATCTCAATACAAGCGTTCTAGTTTCTAATGCAAGGACAAATTTCATAGATTGCAACTATGAACAAGAAAATACATACAATAGAATATACCTTAAGATGGAGGAAAAAGGAAAGCACAATAAAGGATTAAATGAGGGTTTTACCATATAAGTTTGACGGAAAACTGGGAGGTACTTGAGGTCTTCAGACTCGCCCCAAGCCCTAATCAACTGCATAGCTCGCACCCGATTCCCATGGTCGGTCTTCGGATCATCAATCATCCGCATCATATCTTCCAGAACCTTCTCAGAAGCCACTTCGGAGAAGACCTTGTCGCAATTGGAGGTGCAGGTCTCCAGCAAATCCAGGCTCAGCCTCTGAGTCACCACCGCGCTCTTCCCCTGCTGCTGCAACTTCCTCTTGATGGCCTTCACCACCTCCGTCCCGTTAAACTCCTCGCTGCTGATCATCGCGCAAATCCGGAGATTTAGCCCCCAATTCGGCTCCTCCATCGTCTCTAACGTCGCTTCGTCCACCATCTTCGACTCCGGCGTCGGCGCTTGCAGCATTTCCTTCACTTTCGTGCTTAACATCCGACTCATTTGGGCGCCGCCGGTTTTCAATCTCTCACCCAGAGACGATGAGGCCAGTTTCAGCTTGTCAAATTTATCCATTTTCAGATGATTGAGAACCCTTTTCTGTTTCAGCTGAGTACAGTATCGATGAAGTGAGAGAGCAGTTGATGCAGTTCCTTCCCAGAATCAGTTGCAGTTTTTGAGTTGGATTAACCCTTGCTTCCACTGGAAATGGAGAAGAAGAAAATTCAATGGAATTTATTTTTCATTTTCTGGGTCATAATGGCAAAACAATGTACTCCTTCCGACTTCCGACCCTTCCACCGACGTATCTGATTTTTTTTAATAGCATGTTTTAAATTTAAAATAAAAGTCAAATTAGCTAATTACACGAAAATAAAAATTTAAATATTTAAAAAGTTCAATTTTATTTAATTATTATTATTTTTTTAAACTACTTACCCCATAGTTGAAGGAGATGAGGTTTGTTTGTTTGTTTTTTTTTTTTTTTTTTAAATTTAAAATTGTTTTAAAAAGAATTAATTAGAATTAATTTCATCCTGTATAGGGCTGTTAAGAATTTTGGAGTGTTCGTGTTCGTTTGTTAAGTTTTTGAAAATCCTGTTTGTGTTCGTTTGTTAAGCATTCATTAGTGTTTGTTAACGTTCGCGAACACGTTTATAATGTGCAGTGTTCGTAACGTTAACAAACACGTTCACGAACATGTTGGTGTACGTTCATGAGCACGTTCGTGAACCTTTAATTCATGATCACAATTCGCTCGTGAACAAGAAATAATCTATGTTCATGTTCGCGAACATTATTAAACGAACACTAAACGAGTTTGTTCACGAACATTATTAAACGAACACAAAATAGCTTGTTCACGATCTCTTAGCAAACGAGCATATAATTGTTCAAGCTCTGTTCGTTTATTAACCGAGCTCTAATTTTTGTTTGTTAATGGTTCGTTTACCTTAACAAACGAACATAAACAAACGCTTACCGAACACGAACACGAGTAGTTTGCTGAAAGTTCTGTTCGCTAACACCCCTACTGTACCATAAGGAAAGAATATTTGCTCTCAAAACGCTCATTTCTCTCAAGGTAACTTTACGTTCTTTACAAACCGGAGGCCTACCGTCCGGCCATGCAGGCGACAACAAGTCCTCCAATGGTCCTCTATTAAAAAATGGGAGAGCAGTCTAAGGGAGGAACAAGGCTCTTCAAGAAGTTTCGATCTTTGAAGCGCTTGTATACAGAGACAACGACAATTTCGCCTAACTTTGAAGAAAATGTTACATGAAAATGATGGCATGGACTAGTTTCACGATGACATATATGTGGAATCGGACATTGAAGGTGGCAAAGGAGAGCCAGAGGATGTTACATGAAGATGATGGCATGAAGAGATTTAGAGATCACCTAGTTTCTCATTCGAGAACTTCTAACACTAATGGATATTGTCTCATTTCATTTCTCTATTAACGAAATTTAATTGTAATTATTTACAAATCAATGATTCATAATATAATATTAAATTTAGTTTCAGAATATAAAATTTACATATTTAGAAACAATAATACTAAAGTTCTATTAAACAAAAAAAATTTATTATAAAATACTAAAAAAAAGTAAATAAAAAAAAATTAGTTTTACCAATAAATAGTAAGCATGTCATTTAAAATAAGATACTCTAAGTAGTATATTTTTCATTTAGAAGAAAGAGAGTTGAGAGATGAGACTATCTAAAATTGAGGGAAATATAATAGCTATATATACAATTAACAAGTAGTTAGTGTTTAAAAAAAAAACAAGTAGTTAGTGATAAAGAGAAATGAGATTTGAGAAAAGATATAGAGCAACTAATTGAGAGGCCTATTTGAAATATTTTTTACTCATTCTACATTTTCAATATATTTATTCTCTATATTATTACAAACACATACACTACAAAAAGATTTAAATTATTTCGGTGTAATGATAAAAGGCTCAAACAAGTAGTAAAAAGTGGGCTTGAAACACAAAAGTGGACAGTCAGTGATGGTGGATCAAAGCAACGAAGAGTGGAAATGGAAGATCGAAGCAATAGATCGGCGGCGGTGGAAGATCAAAGAAGCAGAGAATCTGTGATGAAAGATCGATATAGTAGAGAATCGGCAATAGATATTTGAAGCAATGGAGAGTCGACGGTAGAAAATTGAAGCAATGGAGAGTCGATGGTGGACGATGGAAGCAACATTGAGTCTTTGATGGAAGATCAACACAACAAAGACTCGACGATTGAAAATCAAAGCGACAGAGAGTTGCCGATGGAAAATCGGTGGGACGGAGAGTTGCTGATGGAAAATCTGAGTGACGAAGAGTCTCTGAGGGAAAATCAGAGCGACAGAGAGTTACCAATGGAAAATGAAAGTAGTGATGAGTCGGTGATGGAAGATCATTGATTTGACGATGGAGTTTGAAGCAAATAAACGTCCAGCGGTGGGCTGACGAGACGTTCTCGTTGAGGAGAGAGCGATAGACAAGTAAGGTATGAAATTCAGGAAATGGCTTAAAATGAAAAGTGAGATACCTAAATAGGTAGAGACCTAGGGTTTTGGGTGATAGTGAAGATATGGGTCACACAAACAATAGTCCAATTTGGAGAACATTCTTTTATTGGTGTTGTAGATTAGGCAAATTTTAGTGTGGATTATGGTACATATAGTGATGTGTTGACTATAAAAAAGTACATTAATAATATATTAAAAGTATATTATTTGTGTACTGAATGTATAATATACAAAATAATATACTTTTTCTAAATACAAGATACATTTTTAATATACTAAAAGTACATTATTTGTATATTGAATGTATATTATTTGATAGTATATAAAATAATGTACTTTATGTACACTAATAATATACTTTTTATTTATGATTTACACAATAATGATTGATATGTCGTTAGCACAAAAATTAATTTCACGATTTAAGGAGTCAAAGTGGAAGCCCAAATGTTTAATGCAATGAAATTATCCAAATCCATAACTTTCAGATAACATTGATACATTTAGTAATTTGAGCATATCTCCATCATATGTAGGGATTTCAATTGGTCCAGCTTTATTGGTTTTAAGCCAACCCTATTAGTAGGGGTGTTAGCGAACAGAGCTTTTGGTAAATTACTCGTGTTCGTGTTCGTTTATGTTTTGTTTATTAAGGTAAACGAACATAAATGAACAAAATTTAAAGCTCGGTTCATAAACAAACAAAGTGTGAACAATTGTAGGCTCGTTTGTTAAGAGCTCGTGACCAAGCTCGTTTGTGTTCGTTTAATAATGTTCATAAACAAGTTCGTTTAGTGTTCGTTTAATAATGTTCAGACAGACAGACAGACACACACACACATATTAGATGCTACAATTGGACTTATTCAGTTATTTGTATTAGTTTTGTAGTTGTGTTGTTTGTTTAATTTGGTTATTGTCCGTGAACGTAGATTTTTTCTGATTCACGAACGAATTGTGATCGTGAACATGTGCAGGTGTTTGGTTATTAAGTGTTCACGAACGTTAACGAACACTACCGAACACTTAACAAACGAACACGGACAATATTTTCAAAAATCTTAACAAACGAACACGAACACTCCAAAATTCTTAACAAACATAGACACACAACCTCCGTTCGTTTATGCTTGGTTCGTTAACATCCCTACCTGTTAAGCTATTGAGTTCATTTTTATTTGGTTAACATTTTTGGCATTTTAACTCTAAAGTGACGCTCCCATATGGGAGGCCATGAGATCGAGCCTCAGTTGATGCACTATTGGCTCTTTGTGCTTCAACAGGTTAGGAAAGTATGTATGAACAAATGCTACAATGTAATAGAGTTAGTAGTACTAAAAAAAAAAAAATCTAAACCATAGGTTATTGGGCATATCATATGGACTCAATTAAAATTTCTGACATTTTAACTTTTAATTTTAATAAATTAACAAATTAACAATAATAAATAAAAAAAATACATCATTTAATCAATCCAAACCTTTATTTTTAAATTGCAACTAAAAAGATTTAATATATTTACAATTATAATATAAGAAATATAATAATTTTTTTGTTACTTATTTTTATAAAAATAATTTATTTTTTAATAAATTTGTTAATATATTTATTAAAAGAGTTAATTCCATTTTTAGTCATAGATTTATAGATGACAGTTTACTTTTTAGTCTTTTTTTATGAGAACATTCATTTTTGGTCATACTGTTATTGTGACATGATTATTTTTTATATTTTATCAATAAAATAATTTAAATATTCTTAAATACAAGGACATCTCTGTTTTCAATTATGGAGTTTGTTTAAAAAAATAAACGTAAACGATATAACGGGTCAACTTATACTTTGTATAAACAAGATAAGAATGTCTTTATATTTAACGACATTTCAATGATTCTGATAATGAATGACTAAAAATGATCATATCACAATAATATAAAGACTAAAAGATGATATTATAATAAAAAATAACTAACAATTTTCCGACACCTATAAATATAGGATATTTAAAAAGCCCTAATTCACAATCATTCATACTCAAGCTTCACTCTTCAGGAATTCAAATTTTCTACTCCCAATTATCTAAACTGCGAAAGGTAATTTCACCAATTACATTTCTTTCTCATTAGGGGGTTTTCCTGATTTCGAATTCACAACAGGTCCCAAGTGTCTGTCTACACTGCAAAATTTAATTTCATCAATTACATTTCTTTCTCATTGCCTCATTGGGGGGTTTGCCTGATTTCGAATTCACAATAAGTCCCAAGTCTCTGTGAATATAGGAGTAATTGTGACTGTAATTCTAATTTTGCAGGGAAGAGACTATGAAAGTCAAGATTATACGTATCCTTCTTGTCATATGCATTTTGAATAATTTGGCTGCTATTTATGATCTACTGGAACTATATTGATGCTTTTCGTTGTCCCAAATTTTCTTGATTGACTCAAAAAGTAATATTAAAAAAATTCCCGAATTCTTCAAACTCAAATCAATTTGGCTATTTGTAATTTTCTAGTTTAGGCTTTGGCCGCCATTTCAATGCATCGATGTTCTGTATGAATTTCTTGAACTCATGAAGTCTTAATGGGTGTTTGGTAAATAGCTGTTAGCTGGTAATTGTTAGCTGATTGTGTTAGTGTGTTTGACTAGTTGATAACATTAGCTGATTGTAGAAAAGTGTTTGATAAATTAGCAGTTAGCTGATAGCTTATTACATGCAAAATGACTTTCTCAATCGAAAAAACTACTTTGAGCAGCTTTTTAAATTTTAGCATTTTAGAGTAATAAGTTGTTACACCTAATTAATCAAACACTCATATAGATTGTTTAACCAAGTGAAACAGCTAATAGTGGTTAAATAAGCCAAAATTGATTGATAAGTTAACTATGTTACCAATCAAGGCCTTAACCTTTTATTATTAGTTTCTGACTTGACCACTAGCGAAGTTTGATTTGGACATGCATACAATTATACAAACTGTGTTTCATTTTTATTCTTCTTGTTGTTTTTTGTTTGTATGGCTGGACTAATTTTCAGTATGCCAGAAATACTTGAGATGGCCTATCAATTCTGTCATTGATTATCCAGCTTAACTTTCTGTGTGTAATACTGTAATCAGTTTTCACTTGACCAATTCTTTCGCGGGTTGCACTGTGCGCGGCTACGAACAGAGTATTTCCTTTGTCTCAGCTTGATACTACTCAACTTTCTAATATTTAAATTGTGGGGGATCTTAATACTCTCTTATTTTATGGTTTTTGTCAATAAAAACTACAGGTGGCATGCTGTTGCTTCGTGGACATGGGATGCACAGGATGAGACTTGTGGAATTTGTAGGATGGCCTTTGATGGCTGTTGTCCTGACTGTAAACTCCCTGGGGATGATTGCCCTTTAAGTAAGCCTTAGAGCCTGTTCTATTTGACACTTTTTCTTCACTTTTCAAGTTTCTGCATCATATGCATATGGGTGTTCTTTTAAGGATGTTTTGTTCTATATGTGCTTGTTTCTTAAGGATGTTTTGTCTGTGTAACTCTGAGTCTGCTATTATTGTCGTGTACTTGTGTGCACATTTGGATTATATGGTCATGTGGCAGTGTAAATGTGTAATACACTAATACTTATTGTTATGCCTTTAATGAGTCCACCATAATTGTTAAGCGTTGTTACTCTTTTTACACCTACCATTGTATTGCCATTAATTTTCTAATTCTATTAGGATTCCAAGCGGTTACTCTTTAGATCTACCATTATATTGCCCTTAAGTAAGTTTTCTTTGCAGTTTATCACAATACTGTCTAGTTCAGACTTCTAATTCTTGTGGGATTAATAGTGACATCCTTTTCCCCTGCACCTTGCGAACTTTTTCAATAAATATGTTTGTGATACGTTTCAGATATTCCTAAATTAGCAAGGATTTGCTTAATGCTTTTGGTGTATAAAGTTTCCAAGATAGTTGCTGAAGATGAGTGATCTAGCTTTTCTATACAATTTGAAGCTCATAGCCTTTATTGACAAGTGGTAGTCATTATATTTTGGGGGTTTTACCAACACTCTCTTGGTTTAAACTTTCAATTCAAATCTCTCCTGGCAACTGTATGACACTTGGTCCACTAAGTGATTAGTAATAATTAATAAAGAATGACAGTGGTTAATAAAGAGTGACAGTGGCATCTCAATTAATGTGTTTTTTGAAAGATCACCTTCAGTGCTTATGTTACAAGTAGTGTTTCAAAAATCGTGCCTAGGCGGTCGGCCTCCTAGGCGCTCTAGGTGCCCGACTAGGCGTTCTAGGCGCCCGCCTAGACGCTCTAGGCACCCTAGGCGGTCCCCAGGCGCCTAGAGGGCGCCTAGCGATTTTTTCAACATTGGTTACAAGGATGGAATGACAAAATGTTAATCTTATAGTTTGTATGGGTAGCCTACTTTTGATACTTCTCCCAAATACTGTCTACTGAACCAGTGAGCTAAGCCCGTGCGGGCGCTTATTTATGATACTTAAGTGGTTTAAATGTTGTTTTGCAGTTTGGGGTGCTTGCAACCATGCATTTCATCTTCACTGTATCTTGAAGTGGGTGAATTCACAGACTTCTCAGGCACACTGCCCCATGTGCCGCAGGGAATGGCAATTCAAAGGGTGAAAAACTGTAATGTGTTCTTAACTTCTGGCAAGTTTCTGTAGTGGAGAACTTGAATCTAGGAATTTCAGTGCTTGCCATTTTAAATTTTTTTTTTTTTTTTGGATTTAAAGACCATTACTTTTTGCTAAAAAAGAGCAGAGTGTAAAAGCCTTGCCCTTCTTATTTTACACTCTTTTGTATGTTGTATATGAAAGTTAATAATGTATGCTTAATGGTCTAACTACATTTTACAGGTTTGGAAGCATTGCCCCCATTCAACTAAAAGCACCTCAGAATTAAACATTTTTTCCATCTCTAGTTTGGTCCTGAGTTGTTTCCTTCTTTGCCTAATGTTGTATCAAACATTGTATTAGTTAGGATGGCTTTATGTTGTTTTCTTTCAGATATTCTATAAAGTTGGACAAATTATGTGCTTTAATGGCCAAAAATCTTGGTTATGGTGAATGATACTAGAAATGTAAGCATGTTTTTAGGGCTTAAAATGTTGATGATGCTGAGAAAGAAAATTGTGGGAATATGTGGGAAATTATTATGTGGACTCTCAAGTTCTACTCCTAAATTTTATTCTCGCTCTCAAATTTTTTATGTAGACATTTTTTTTGAGACCCACATGATGAAAATGTCTTATCATTGTCTGTCATGTCAGGGAGTAGAATTTGGAAATACATATAGTAGACAAATGTAGGAAGGAGTTTGGAGTTTGTATAACAAAAAGGAATTCATAAAAAATTTATATTCAGAAAGCATGTTTACCATTTTGCAATGCATAAAAATTTCATATGATACACATACATTATGAAAGTTTTTGAAAGAACTTTTTATATCATATGATACATATATACATTATCAAAGTTTTTGAAAGAAACTTATTATAATATAAAGAATACGTATTAATAAAAATTAATGAAAGTTTGTAAAGGCGTATTCAATTATGAAAGTCCTTAAATTACATAAAACTTTAAAAGAATGATATAAAAAAGAATTAATTTCACTTTTGGTCCCACGACTTTTGATGTTTTATCACTTTTGGTGCACAACTTTAAATTTTTTTAATTTTGGTGCCTAACTTTGTTATTTTTATCAATTTTGGTCCTTCCAGCCAAATTGACGGTAAAATATTTCTGGATTTTATATTTTAGGGGCAAAATCGTCATCCCATGGAAAGATCTTCAATATTTAAACAAAAGAAAAACCATATTAAGAGGAAAAAAAGAGTTTGCCAATGGTCGAAAATATAAATCCCATAGATTTGTCTGGTTTCTGCCCGTCTTCCACATTATTCTCATCATCAAACACATATAGATATGATTTTACAGGATGATTTTGTTTAGATATTGAAGATGTTGCCTTGGGATGATGATTTTACGCCTAACAATATAAAATCCAGCAACATTTCGCTGTCAAATTCGCCAAAAGGACCAAAATTGATAAAAATAACAAAGTTAGGCACCAAAATTAAAAAAATTTAAAGTTGTGCACCAAAAGTGATAGAACATCAAAAGTCGTGGGACCAAAAGTGAAATTAATTCTATAAAATACCTGCTTGATATGGGAACATAGCTAGGAATGATATTTTGAAAAATTATATTTTTAACGATTTGTTTTACAAATTACAATTTTGTTTATACAAAAAAAAGTAAAAATTAATATATTTAAGTGATCATTGATCAATTAGTGTCATTCTTATGAATCTAAATTTTTTGTATGAACATATAGTATATTTTTATGTACATAGATTCATGGTAGAACTATAGTCCATGATATAATTTTCCTTAATGAACACAAAAGGCTCATGGTCAAACACATTTTGGGTACGACTAGCAAAAGGCCCAATATCATTTAGAAATGAGAAGTTTTTTATTTAAAGAAATTACTACAACGCGCCATCAATTATATAGTGTAATGACATCTTTATTATCAATCTAAATGGGTGGTCACAGAATTGAAACCTGGTGATGAGGGCTTTAAATTTTTTAAATTGAAAATGATTGAGAAAGTATAAGGAGGGAATTAAATTTAGAAGTTGATTTAGGATAGCAAGCAAGTTGGTTTAAAGAAAAAGTAATACTTTTGAATGGAAAAGGAATATTTCTTTTATTTGCAAAATGTAATACTATTTTTTTGGGACATTATAATACTTTTTAGCAAAAAAGAAAAGTTTTAAATCAACTATAATATCTAATCTAACAAATATAATCTAACAAATATAATCAAAGTCAATTTTTGTTAAACGGACAGAGAAAGACCCGGACCACCTCGTGGTTTACACTAAAAAAAAAAGTCAATTTTGTTAAGTCTTAGGTGGAATAAAAAATGTGTTGGTAGTATAGATTGCATTGATCAATTATACTCTTGTGCTTTCTTCATTGTACCTCTTACATCTATCCTTTTATCTTTTGAAAATTGCTCAATCTCTTAACAATATGTTATTTAATTTAATGAATGGTTGTCAATTTAATGGTTTTTTTCCCCTTTTACTTGTACCGGCCTATTGATCCATCTATGTGATTATTAAACATAAATCCTTATAAGTTCTTGTCATAGCTATTATGCATAATTTTTTGAAAACAAAAATGTTCAATGAATAAAGATAATTAATTTTATGTAGTACAAGATACTGTGGTCTATATAAAAAATATCACTTCAATTATGGATAAAATTCAACATATTTTTGAAAATTCATATAAGATAATAATGTCCCTTATTATTAAAGTTGTATCCTATAATTCCATTTATAATTTAACATTTATTTTGACCATATTTTTTTGCTATTTTTTCATTGGTAAATTTTATTCATGCATTAAGCGTATTTATAACTAGTTTTTAGTAAAAAAATGTAATACTTTTCAAGGATAAAGTAATAATTTTCAAGAAAAATGTAATACTTTTTAGTGAAAAATGTGATATTATTTTAAAACAAATACGGAGTAATACTTTTTTAAAGAAAAAAATAATATTTTAAAATAAAAGTACAACATTTTCAATCAACTACTAATACATGTAAGTGAAAATTCAATACTTTTCAATAAGAAACTAATATTTGTTAAGGAAAAAGATTTTTTGTAGTGATAACATAATAATTTCTAAGTAGCATAAAATAGTTTTAAAGAAAAATGTAATATTTCAGAGTTTTTTCTAGTGAAAATATAATATTTTTTAATAAAAGAATAATATACCTTTTAGTAAAAATATGTAATTCTTTTCAAGGAAAAAGTAATACATTTTAATGGAAATGTAATATTTTAAGTGAATATGTAATGTTTTTTTAACAAAAAAAAACTTATAATTTTCAAAGAGCAGTAATATTTTTTAACGAAAATACAATACTTTAACGAAAAGATTGATTAAAAATGATGGATACTGCCGAGTACGATACCAGTCAGAGTATAAGTTGGCGGTCAAGGTTTGATCACGCTACCCAAACGATAGGAAGAATCCAGTAGCTTGCGGCCTCGTGCCGAGCTGAATGACTCGTTCGAAAGGCCCATCTAGATGACTTAGCGAAGGCAATCGGCTACACTCGACTGGGTGCCGTACTCAGGGGCGGTTAGTGGCCGTAAAACCAACAAAAAGATTATTTTCAATTCAAACAAAGAATTTTATGTTGATTTAAATCAAAGATATAGAGGAAAGAATACCATCATGACTGCCAGTTTACACCAAATCCAGACTAAATAAAAATAGAAACAATTATGTACACAGTATTCCTACCATTCAATTTGAATAACATAACCCTACCACTGAAAGAGAAAAAAAAAATGCAATCAAACACAATTCTTACCATATTTCCAAACACTACACAACATGATTGATAATCACAATTCAGTAAATAATTAATTCAAGTATTTTTTTTCCCTTTTAATTTTCTGCATAATGACCTAAATAAATAATCGGATCATCAAATGAAAGCCAAGCCGTTTTCATCGTCACCAAACCGCATATCCTCAATGCTGGAATGAACTCCCCCGTCTTGCATGCTTGGATGATCGTCGAAATTCATGTCGTCGAACAAGAACTCGTAATCGTTAGACGAGGGAGCTACGTTGTTGGTGTTGTGGCGCGACGATTGCGGAAATCCTCGTTGGTCTGCCGGCGCGGCGAAGAAGTTAGCAGTGCTTGATGAGTTTTGGGTTTGGTTGGGTGGACTGTGAGAGTGGGAGTACGGCGGCGCCGCCGGACGGTAGGCGGAGGACGGCAAACAAACCTCCAAGCTGCCACTTGCCATGTCGTACATGATGTTGTTTTCGTTGTTGGTTTCAATTTTGGATTTGTGGAACACTCTGCATAGTACCCAGTCTTCCTGCATTCATAATTAGCCAACCAATAAGTCCCTAATCATAGCTCAGTGGTCGAAAGTCTAAGCGTAAGGGTGTATTGATTAGAGATTTAAGGCACTTCCTGAGCTTCATACTCAAAGTCAAGGATTGAACCTTTGGCCTTTGAGTAAGGATTGATGAATCATTTCCACGCAACCACTTTGCTAAAAGCTATATATAGCTCACATTGAAGGCCCAACTTTATTTATTTATATACTACCAACACATTTTTAAAAGACAGGACGCTGGACTTAGGCAAATTATTGTGTGGACCATGGTCCACACATTGTTATGTGTCACCATAACAAAAAGTACATTTTTAATATATTAAATGTACATTAATTTTATACTTAATGTACATTATACAATATAATGTACACCCAGAACAAAAATAATGTACATCCCCTGAATATAATGTACATTAGTTTTGTACTGAATATACATTATTTTTATATTGAATGTACATTATTTTACAGTAGACAAAATATGGTCCACACAATAATAATTGTTGGACTTAGCCCTTTTCAGCCTCCGCCCAACAATCTCCTAGCTACAAATTACTGGACTTGGCCTTTCACCAGCCTCTTCCCAACAATCTCCTAGCCACCAATTGCTCAATTGCCCAAGTGCTAGACTTGGCCTTTCACCAGCCTCTTCCCAACAATTTCCTAGCGAATAATTGCACTTACCTTTCACTAGTCTCCGCCCAACAATCCCCTAACCACCAATTGCTCGATTTGGCTTTTCACCCGTCTCCGCCCAACAATTTCCTAACCACCAATTGCTCGATTTAGCCTTTCACCGTCTCCGCCCAACAATCTCCTAACCACCCATTGCTCGATTTGGCCTTTCACCAGTCTCCGCCCAACAATCCCCTAACCATCAATTGCTCGACTTGGCCTTTCACCAGTCTCCACCCAACAATTCCCTAAGACCCTAACCACCAATTGCATGCTCAACTTGACCTTTTACCCGCTTCCACCCAACAACCATTTATCTCTCATCACAGAACCCAAAGACATTAGCATGAGGGGCTTTTAAGTTTGGGGAACGGTTCAAACTTATAATAATTAGCGAACCATTAACTTAATTAGAAAAGAAAAAAGGGAAAAGGAAAAAGAAAAGAGAATATATATATACCTTGGGGGGAATATGAGGATTTTCGAGGCGAAATTCATGCATGATCCAGCCAGTTTTGATGCCATTTGGGGCTCTATTCTTGTAAAACACTAAAGTTTTCCTCATCCCTACAATTGCTCGAGTTGTGGGATCAATCACCGTCCGATCTTTGCCGGTGGCTTTCCAGTAGCCGGAAGTGGTGGCTCTGTTGGTACGAAAACCCGTCGCATATTTCCGATCACGGAAGCTGAAGAAGTACCACTCGCTCGAATTCAGCTTTGCCACCTCTTTATTTATTAAAACATTAATATGTTAGACTTCAATATAATTTGCCAGTCATCTGGGTATATACTTAATTGTACAAACTTAATTCCTTAATTATATGTCTATTCTCTTTTAACTCATAAGTTATGGGTAAAGTGGCGAATTTAATCAGAATCAAATCTTGTCACTTTATTAAATGACATATTAACACTTCAACCATAACTTAAGAGTTAAAAAATGATTACACATATCATTCAAGAACTAAATTTGTACCACATATAATTGGTGAACTAAGAATGTAATTTTTCTTAAAAGAAAAAAAAAAAAACAGATTTCAAATATTAGCAAGAACTTTAATTTAAGATTCCAAGAGAACACACTCAGAATAAATTAAAAATAAAATATAAACTTATTATCATTGTCATAATAACTAACGAACAAATTAAATGACCAATAATGTTACAGCAATGCATATATTAGGGCTCTAAATCTATAAATATTCTCTATACTAAATCGAACACATAACATAATATAAAGAGTTCACTAATTTATTCATAGATATATACTGCATCTATTTTTTTTTTGGACGACGATGAAAAACTTCAATCATTATTTGAAGGCGTGCGTTGAGTAAATTTTACCTGGTAAATCTATCTGTCAAAAGACTACAATGAGGAAAACCAGTCTAAGTTGCCTAGAAACCTGATCGAGTAAAATTAAGAGGGTCAATAGACTGTTATTGTTAATAGTCAAACTTATAACTTTCTAATTACCAAGTTAACAATCCGACTAACTAGAGTTGCTCCTACTATATTTACATTTTACCGATTAATCATTGATTTTGAAAGTGACCATCTCTTTCCTTCCTTTCTTTTTATCAAATCAACGTGAGTTACATGATAAAAAAAAAAAAAAACTATATACTTATTTAGGGATGGGAAAATATGATAAGTATTTTGGTTATTATTATTGTTGTGCCAACACATTGACAGTGTTTGTGTAGGACATGTAATCAAGAATTTGATGTGAGTAGAGGACTGGACAGGAGAGAGGAGAGAGGTGTGAATAAAGAGAAGAAAATGTTTGGAAGAGACATATATATATATATATATATATATATATATATATATATATATATATATATATAATCAGCAACCTTAGCTTATTAGGCATTCTCAATGTCTTGTACGAGAATCCTCCCAACAAAATTATTAGGAAATGACGCAGAAAGCTTGGTCGTTTAGGTAGTGGTCAGATCAGTACAGAGAAGAATCTCTACATACACTCACATGTTTCCTTTACACCAAAGCTTATTTATTCTACTGCTGTATGTATGTTAAGATTATATATTATTAATTAACAGACAAAATTCACAACCTAAGCTTTTATTTTAGAGCTCTACTTTTTTATATGAGTCCCAATACAAGTGTTTACATCAAGATTTTATAAAAGTAAAAGTTGAGAGTAGAAAATGAGAATACATGTAGTATTTTATTTTATTTTATTTTCGACCTGTTTGGTAACATTATTAGAGCCAATTTTAGCTTATTTGACCACTATTAGCTGTTTGACTTTGTAATAACTTATTACTCTAAAACGCTAAAATTCAAAAAGCTACTCAAAGTAGTTTTTTCGATAAGCTTTTAGGAAAGTTATTTTGCATTTAATCAGCTATCAGTTAACGTCTAATTTACTAAACATTTTTCTACAATCACCTAATCTTATTAACTAGTTAAACCCACTAACCCAATCAACTAACAACTATCATCAAACAATTATTTACCAAACACTCCATTTATTTTATTTAACCTTAGCTTTTTAAAATTAATGCTCATCTCATCTCATCTGATCTGATAATAATGAATAAGTGAGATGGTGGGCAGGCAGTCCATTTCCATCAACTTCACTTCATGCCCTACGTGTCCTCTCCTCACCTATGCTGCCTGTGCTATACGTACATACTAATCCAATTCATTTAATTTAAATAATATACCTATACATATATACTATCATCCAAATCCCACCATTTAATTTACTCCTTTTTCAGTTAATGAGATTTTACTCAAATCATTTAATTGGTATTAATAAATAAATTTTATATATTTAAAAATTATATTATAAACAAAATATCGAAATTTGAGAGTTATAAATTATTATTATTATTTTTTTTAAGAAATTAAACAAAGAAAGAAGGATTAAGTTGACCTAAGAATATTAAGAAAGGCGGGTTAATGTATTTAGAGGAAATATTTTATTAATTTCCGTTCTCTCTTAGGTATGGGAATTGATCCAAGAGAAATTGAACTCGTGTTATTCCTAAAATTATCTCCACAAAAAAATTTATTTGTCACTTGAGCTACCCCTTTAGATTTTCGATCATATATAATTTAACACTCTTTAATTTCATCTTTTCCTATGAGAATAATGATTTTGTCTTAATGTATGAGAATAATTGTGCATTTGTTCCTACAGAGAAAAGGAGACTTTGAATGTGATTTTTTTTTTTTTTGGGTGAGAATTTCCTTAATTATTGATTTTGGTCTAATATATAAGATATTCTTGGACTGGTGCTATCTTAAAGGATTTGTACATAACGTTTCATGATTGTTAACCATTTTTGAATTACGATATGAGTTCTCATGTTCAGTGAAAGTTGGCTATTAAAAGAATTTTAAGAGAAATACTTGGTTTTCAAAAAAAAAAAAAAAATTAGAGAAATACTTAATTTGTAAGTGAATTAATTAGGAAATTAAAACAGCACTAACAAAAGGGGAATATGAAGAAATAATTTAAAATTATTTTTTTGTCATTAATCAATTCTCTCAAGTAAATGCTTTATTTAATAATATTAATAAATGTAATTACCTAGTAATTCATTTGGTATATAAACTAAGGATACTTTTTAATAATAAATAATCTAAAATGAAAAAAAAAATATTTATATGAATTTGTACATTGTTATACCATAATCCAACAAGCTTGAACAAAAACGAGTCATGCTAGATTCTCTTCAACATTTCTATTGTAATATTCACCCCTAATATATAACTTTTAAAAAAAAAAAATGTGGTGAGTCAGCTAATTCACATCACAAGTAATTAATAAATATGAAAATGTTTAGAGTTTAGGCCCTGTTTGGTAAATAGTTAATTTATCTGTTAATTTTAATTTATTTTATCACTATTAGCTGTTTGACTTGATTAAACAAGTGTTTAATTAATTAGTTTTTTGTAACAACTTATTGCTCCAAAATGTTAAAATTTGAAAAGCTACTCAAAATAGCTTTTTCGATCAACTTTTTAGAGAAAGTTATTTTGCATGTAATTAGCTATCAACTAACAATTAATTACCAATCACTTTTTTACTAATATAATCAGCTAACAACTATTTACCAAACCTTATGATATAAATATTTAGGAGAAGAGAGAAGCATTTATTTTCAAAAGAAAATAACCATAGGTAAACATAGTTATGAATCACACTTTATAAAAATAAAAATCAAAATGAATATAAAGAAAATGCTAACTATTTTTTTTTATATAAAAATTTTAAAACATGACAGATTAGTAAAATATATTAAATTTTTAATATTTATTTATATATGTACAAAAGTTTTTTTTTTTTTTTTTTTTTTTTGAATTTCCTTATCACAGAAACTTTTCTATAAATGGCTATATCTAAAGAAGTATGAAAGAGAAAATATTTCCCAAAACATATTTTCATTTTCTTACTTTATTTTCTAAATTCCAATTCTGTGAAATTATACCAAATTCTACATCTGGAAGTAAATCCATTGAACCTCAATCAATTAATGTGTACAAACATCCTTTTCTTTCAAGTCACGTACTGCACTAGCCTCTCTAGCAAGATTCTCCTCCAACTTTCTCCCTAGCTTTAAGCCCATATTTTTCTTTTATCCATAAAATTATTAAATTAAATTTCAAATCAAACATCCTACGCTTCCTTCCATCGCTATCTTATTTATTTATTTATTTATTATTATTTCGAGTGACGAGAGAAATTGCTGTCACTATTAGATGATGTGTATGGAGTAAATTCTGCTTTATGACCTTAGCTAACAAAGGACCGAGGTAAACAAGTCTAGGTTTTTTAACACTAACCGGTTCAAACCGAGAAAACCAATAAATTATTTTAAGGGTAACATTTGTGTGACACAGTTTCACGGGTCTCAATCCGTGAAACGAGTCGGGTCTTTGATTAATGGGTCAGATTGTTGACCTTATTAATCAAAGATCCGACCTGTCTCACGGATAGAGACCCCACACCTCGACCCGACAGAATATTTGGGAGGAGATCGAAGAAGCTAAATAAGGGTATGGAGGATGACGTACGTACCAGGAAGCTGCCATGGCTCGCAGGTATGAAGGTCGACTTCGACAAGAGTGCCCTTAGAAACATTTTGGTTAGCAACTTTGTTGTAGAGATAATGGCAGATTAGCTCTTCATCACTAGGGTAAAACCTAAACCCAGGAGGCAGTGTGGCTCCGATGTCTCTTAACCCCATTTCGATTTTCTTTTTCTTTTTTCTGGGTTTTCTCAACAAGAAGGAAAGTTGCGACTCCCAACCAAAGTAGTTTTCATGAATTATTTGTACGATAGAATAATTCTGGATGGGATGATATATATAGAGAGAGAGAGCCACCCATACAGGGTGCCCTTTGTTTGCCACATGGAATATGATAACGTAAGATGATGCGTTTTATATTAATTTTTAATTATTAATTATATTCCATGTAGCATAGCAATAGTATGTAGCTTGCGTTTGTATGTATAGTTCGTTATTGTCATACTTGGAACTTTCAAGAAAATCTAAAGTCACAAGCAACTTTGTTTTTTCAAGGGGGAGAAAGAAAACTTAATGCACTTTAACTATATTATAATGGGGATAATCCAAATCCTAGTTTTTGGCCAAAACCTCCAAATACTCCCCTCCAAAACTCTCCTTTTTACTTTTATTGCATAAAATTCCTAGTCTTATTTGAATTGACATGTCCAATTTCATAGTAAATTTTAAATAAATTCGACATATATATTAGTAATATTTTGGAATTTTGCTAACGTATCTTCATCGGAAATGTCATAAGTAAAATATTTTTTACATATGCCAAGAATAATAAAATAAAGTATTAATGTAACATTAATCACATTTCCTTCTTGCTAAACTTTATTGATGGAGTCATGGGGGTTGAGCTCAAGGACAATTGGATAAAAGAGTTGAGATTTGGAAGTGGTCAATTGGGGTAAGGAAACATTGGAGCCCGTGGGCAAGTTTTTGGACCTTAATTAGATTGAGAAGTAGAGTTGGGAAGGGCCAAAGTGCAAAGATTGAACGGATGAGGTATAAAGTGAAGAACGAGAGAAAATTTGTGGGCCAAAGTGTGCCAAGACATAAAGTACATGGTACCAAAGCATTAAAAATGAGCACTAAGCTAAGGGTGCGTTTGGCGATGCACAAATGGTACAACAGTGGAGAAGGTATACAAGGAGAGAGTTGGACCCGATTTTGCCCCTGTTCGGGCGACAGAGACGCGAGGCGGTGCCCCCTACTCGGCCGATGGTACAATTGAGGGTAGCAAAGTCTGGGTGACTAATAGAGGTGTAAACGAGCTGAGCCGAGCTCGAGCCTGGGTTGGCTCGAGCTCAAGCTCGATAAGGATAGTCCTGCTCAAGCTCGAGCTCGAGCTCGGCAATTTTCGAGCAGCTTGATTGTTCGAGCTCGAACTCGAGTTCGGGCTCGATTTTGAGCTCGACTATGCCTCAAATTTGACCTGCTTGACTTTGAATTCATGTTTCAATTAATAATAAACTTCTTTGTTTTATCCATACAAAAATAATAAAAACTTTAAAAAATTCAAAAATCCAAATTTAAATTTTTAAAAGTTTAAATTAAATCTATCATTTCCATCCAACTTCTTCATCCCTGCTCTCTTCAATGCCTCAGCCAATCTCCAAACTGTCTCCCCTCCTCCAGCCCCATGTTGCTGCCATTGCTGCTTCCCCTTCCAGTCACCAGCTTTCCCCTTTCTTGCTGCTACTGTTACCACCCCATCTCCTCCCTTAGCTGCCATTGAAAATGTAAGATACAGAATACTCACCAGTTAACAACTTCACCTACTGGACAACAATGTGCACTGCAAGCCACAACATTATACTCTAGAAGGCTAAACAATGTGCACTGGATGGCTGAACAATATGCACACTAATGCAAAACAATATACAATTCGAAAGCACAACAATATGCTTTAGAAGAAACAACAATGTGCTTAGGAAGGCACAACAATATGCTCTCGAAGGCCCAACAATATGCACACTAAGACAAAACAATATACACTTCGAAGACACAACAATGTGCTCTGGAAGAAATAACAATGTGCTCAGGAAGGCACAACAATGTACTCTGGATCCTCAACAATGTGCTCTGTAAGGCAAAGCAATGTGCACTAGAAGGCATATTAGGGTGCTCTAGAAAGCACAACAATACATTGTGCTCTGGAAGACATAAAATTGTGCTATGCAAAAAGGGAAAACATGCATCAGAAGACAAAAAAATTAACTTATGTAAACAAAATTACCATAATGCCACCGAATTTTTTTTATTTAAAAAATATCTTCAATTTGGGCCCTGATTTGGACTTAATCAACGGATATAATTAAACCATATTTTTCACATAAGGTAATTGTTTCACCTGATCCGTTATATATATATATATATATATATATATATATATATATATATATATATATATATATATATATATATATATATATATATGTGGGTACGTTCAAGTAAGAATGAGCACCTAGGAGCGGAATGAGAACCATTCATAGTAGTTCATCTATCCTGATTTACCGGATAAGATGTAATTTTAAAAAAATGCTGTGACATTTTTTTAAATAACTCGAATTTTGGTGCAAGTAACATGAGTTAAAAGTGCAGGTAACCAGTGCAAGTCTGTATTTAAAAAGTGCAAGTAAAATCACTTAAAAGTGCAACTATTTTTCACTTAATAGCAAATGTAATTTACCTTTTCACGTTGGTGCACATAATGTTGACGTTTTGTGCACTTAATATTGTTACTTGGTGTATATTATATTGTTGCACTTGTAACACATTTTACTTGCACTGTTAATACATTTTAATTACACTTAAGTGCAATACTCTATGAAATTGTTACTTTCACTTTTAGGCTTTAGCACAACTTAATCACTTTCACCTCAAAGTTTGAATTAATTACAAAAATGTCGTCGTATTTTAAAAAAGTGTTTATGATCCATTAGATATGGACAGATGGACATATATGGTGAGTTCTCATTCCTCTCCTAGGCCTGTGGTTTTCACTAAAGGGGATATCTTGATCAATTTTCATCGTTTTTATGAACAGATACTACATTGTAACACAATCAATGGTATTCAGAAAAATAGTTTGAATGTATTTAAATTTGGATTTTAAAATAAGTATTTATTAATATTATTTTAGTGTGAATGTATTTAAATTTGGATTTAAAAATAAGTATTTATTTATTTATTAATATTATTTCAGTTTCAAAAGCGAGTCATACTGTCATATATCATCATATCTACAATTTATTTAATATTTTTTTTTCTACATTTCTATAATTCCATGATTTTCATCTTACTTTCAATAATAATAATAATAATAATAATAATAATAATAATAATAATAATAATAATAATAATAATAATAATAATAATAATAATAATAATAAGCAATTGATTAGTAATTATTTTTAATAAAAAGGAAAAAGTGCAATTGATTAGTAATTTATTTTTAATAAAAAAGAAAAAGTAGGCCCATCTTAACATTTGACCGCAAATTATTCTGCATTTGGGTCCAAATGTTCACAATTTACATACTAAATATTCACAATTTACTTTTTAAAAATTTACAAATTTGTATACTACGAACACACAATGTTAATATATATGTAATTGATTACCTTGTTTTGTATTCACAAATTTCTTTCAAATACTGCAGTAACATTGACCCTGTATTGTATTCACAAATTGCCTTCTACAATTATTATATATGTGTTTTGATTTAGAAATACAATTTATATTCTAGAATTTCACAATTCCAATATTAAAAATACATAATTTATATGTTGTTTTGGACCAGGGTGTGGTCAGTTATGCCATGGACCCGGGTCCACCTTGCAATATTGATTCGGGTCAAAATACACAATTTATATACTGAATGTTCACAATTTGAATTGTGAACATTCAATATGTAAATTGTGAACATTTAATATATAAATTGCGAACATTCAATATTTAAATTGTGAACTTCAATATATAAAATTTGTGAACATTCAGTATGTAAATTGTAAACATTAAATATATAAATTGTGTATTTTTGAAATCGGGTCCACCTTGAAAAGTGGATCCGAGTCCACATAATAATTTGCCATGGTATAACAACTCAACATTTGACAGTGTGGATCGTGAATTGGACTGCCTTGTGTTAAGAATGAAAGCCTTTCATTTTATATATGATTTTTTAAAAAAAATAATGACATGACATTGGCTTTTTCATATTCAAAATATGAAAATTACAGGGATGAATTGGACCTTGTAAAATCATCAACAAAACATACATCACTAAATGTAGGTTATTATTTTATATGTATGTAATACCTAACTAGTTTGCTTATTTAATTTTTAGGTGCATGCATATGTTTTTATTGGAGCGTACGTTTAGTCATTCTAATACAACAATAACAACAATAAAAAATTTCCAAAGTTCTAAATTATTATTAAGCCATGAATAAATTACACTAGCTAATTAAAGGCCCCTATTGTACAATTTATTCTATATTGTTTAAACTTTGTAGATCTATCATTAGGGAATCTAAGTTGCGTAGAAATGATTGGTCACGGGACTTTGTGAAGGTAGCTGTAGCTTATATATATATATATATATATATATATATATATATATATATATATATATATATATATATATATTGCGAAATGGCCTGGGCTTCCCATGGCAACATAGGAACAAAAGGAATGTATTGCAACTACTACACGAATGCATCGCAATTACTCCAACTTTGCGACTACTACACGAATGTACCACAACTATTCCAGTTCCATGACTACTACGCAAATTCACCTTAACTACTAGATGAGTGCACCGCAATTACTAAAAGAATGCACTACATACATCCACGTGCGTCCTCCAAGCATGTTTGGGAGTAGTTATTGTGCATTCATGTAGTACTTACGACTCGCATGGGAAGACTGATCCGCACGTGAACGCAAATATATATAATGATCATATGAGAACTTGTTTCCGAAGAAAAAATTAAGAACTAACCTTAGTCATCAATCTAGACAGATTTAACGATTCTAGATTTTGGAGGGAAAAATTTGCAATGACAGTTTTGTAATTTTATTTAATTTTAAAAGTGTATTTTCAACAAAATATTGTGCATTTTTGGCAAGTTTGAAATGCAGTGTACTTAAGAACATCTTTTAGCGTTTACAATTTAAAAATTTTGTTTGGTTTAGTGTTTCAATTTTTAGTTTGGTTTATGAGTTACTTTTTACTGCTTAGGATTGAGTATTTATGGTTTACGACTTTATATTTATGATTTATTTATTTATTTATTTTGTGTCGGTTTTAGGGTTTATTAAAAAAATGCAATGTATAGTATTAAAAATTGTACTCTTTACTGTTAGAAGTTGTACTTTTGAAATTATAGAAAAGGCAGAAGTGCCAAATAGACCCATCTGCGAAGTGCTCAATTTCCACCACGAATTAAATTAAGTGTCAAATAGACCTATCTACCAGCCAAATTTGTTCAATTAGCTTTTTTTGCAGGTTGCTAACAGGTTGCCTATTCAATTATTAATATATATATATATATATATATATATATATATATATATATATATATATATATATATATATATAGAAAAAAAAAGAATTTCAACCGCATGTCCGTGCCGGACAGCGGGTGGCTGCGTATTTCACAGACAGCCGTGGCTGTCAAACATGAGGTCCAGATCTGGACCTCATGTTTGACAGCCACGGCTGTCTGTGAAATACGCCGGACAGTCGGTGGCTGATTTTTTTTTTTTTTGTTATATATATATTTTATATTTTTTTTAATAATTGAATAGGTAACCGGTTAGCAACCTGCAAAAAAAGCCAATTCAACAAATTTAGCTGGTAGATGGACCTATTTGACACTTAATTTAGTTCGTGGTGGGAATTGAGCCGCAGTAGTAGATGAGTCTATTTGACACTTTTGTCTATAGAAAATTATCAGAATGTCACCATATTTCTTTTGTCAAATTACATTAGATCCGTTAGATTTTTATTTTTTCAGATGTGCAACTGAGATTGGTTCTTAATTTTTTTTTTCTAGAAACAGGCCGGTTTAGAGACCTCCGATTAAGTTGAAAGAGGTTCACACCATCTCATCTCACCTTCATTTTTTTTTACATTTATTTACTTTATTTATATAAAATAGTTTATGAGAAATTAAATTTAAATTTATTAAAAAATAAATGTAGAGTTTATATTCTATTATTAATTAATATGAAAAAATTACTGAGAATTAAGGTTTCTGTGGTTAATATTTTTTTATTTTTTTATTTTTAAAGAAAAGGAGGGTTGAAATCCAGGTCAGTATCTGACCCTTACAATATTATTACTATACCCAGAATATTCGGTGGTTAATTTAATCACAACATGTTAACTCTTTCTTCTCAAATAGTCAGGAATTTATATACCAAATAGACCTCGTGAAATTCTAATTCTTCAAATTTTTAGAATTGAAACTCCAATGTTACAAATATAAGAATTCACAATTTGAAAGAATTATTAAGGAAAAGAATTTTTAAATTCCATTGTGTTGAGCATATAATATATATATAAACATAAATGTGCAATCCAATTATAAGCTTAGGCTTTTAGTTGAATGGAGCACATGCTTCAATTTGGTATCACGTGTCATTTGGAGTCCATAAAAAATAATCGACTTAGACTTTTAGTTAAGATGGAGTACATGCTTCAATTCATTGAACCAAACATATTGTTAGTCTCTAGGTATTATGTTTTTCAAATTTGTTAAAATTTTCATTTTTTTTTCCCACATTTGGTTAGTTATACCAAACCTTGGTAAAAACTATCTGAAATGCATCAAAATTTTAGTTCAAAATCATAATTTTTTTTCTTTCCAAATGTGTTGAGATGTTTAAGATGGTAACAATATGCATGGTTTTGAACTGAAAATTTGTTACATTTTGACTTTCTTTTATAGAAGATTTGGTTAGAAAGACTATAAATGTAGCAAAGTTTAAAGATGAAAGTCATATACTAAAGTTGACAAAAATAATATTTAGGGATCAAATGTAGGATCTACATTCATAAGATTAAATGTGAAAATAATTAAAATAAATGTAAACATTTTAATGTAGAAGTTGAAATGAAAAATCAGAGGTTTTTTAGATTGAATTAAGTGAAGTCTTATAAGATCAGACTATCCATACCTTGGCAGGATGGTGCATGGTTGCAATCTTTTGTGGCGGCTTTGTTACAAAAGGTTTTTAATTTTAAAAATCCAAATCATCATTTACAAGTGAAAGCCTGGCAAAAATTGTAAATCTTTTAATTTTTCTTGTCAATGTACTAGCATAGCTTTACCCAATCATTATCCACACAGCTGTACGAACCATTCTATCAAATAATGTACATTCAGTACACAAATAATGTACTTTTAGTATATTAAAAATGTACTTTTTGTTATAATTTACACTATAATTTGTCAGTTTTTCCCTTGCCAAAACGGCAAGGTGGGCTTATTATTATTATTATTATTATTATTATTATTATTATTATTATTATTATTATTATTATTATTATTATTATGAAAATGATATAGTATGTAGTGTTTAGTTTCAAAAATGAAAGAGTATTACTGAGATGTTGATGGTTAGCCTAATTTTAAATAATGTTCGGCGTTGATTGGGTGGCTGAGTTCAGAATGTGCTTGATTCGAGATGTGACGATGTAACTTATCATGGAGTAATGTGATTAAATAATTAATTAATATTTTTATATAATTGGTTTTAAATAAGATATGACAATCAGATTGTCAAAAAATTTTGTAATTAAGCTTACTTGATTTACAACAGTCACGGGATAGATGACCCCGTAAGAAGTGAACATAGTATCGCGTTGAGATCATCAAATAAAAATGATTGAGGTATGTTTTGATAGTCGTCTCCCGCGTTACAGTGAGCTAGCTAGCCCCTGTGCTAGGGCGTGTATATATCTAGGTTGAATCAATCACATTATATTAATAATAATAACTTGAGGCACACGGATTATGCATTTAATATAATGCTAATTAATCACGCAATGATATCTTAAATCAGTGGTCATCCACTCAACATATATCTTTTCAAGAGCAGAATAATACACCAAGGCCCAAGCCTTGCGCTCTAACTTTTTATGCCAATAATTTTCAGTGAGGACAAATCCTTTTTTGTCACAACCTACGTAATATAATCGACGAATGACAATAATTAGGTATGGGTGATGACAATATGGATAGGGGTGGTTTCTTATTCAGAGTATTTCTCTATAAATTAAACATCAACATAATAGAGACTTCATTTTCTTTTACTAATAAGGAATAACTTGAATGAAATGGGAGTAGGTGTCCACCCCATTAAGGAAATTCGAACCTAAACTCCACCAATTATATTACTATTTGAACTACTCACCTCCCAAATCTAATTAAACCTTATTCTTATTTGTCACATACCCATTTAACATTCAAGTTTCAAGGGAATAAAAATGTCTTTACACTACACCAAGCAAATCAATAGTCCTCAATAATATATATGGTTGGTCTAGTATGAGAATAGGCATATGTATAATCCGATTTATCCGAAATGACAAAAGTGACACATGTTGGATATTCGACCCGATATAAAGGGGATGATATATTTGGTTGAAATGAGAGCATGTTGTGGATATCGGGTTGGGTAGATCAATTTGATATTCGATCTGTCCAAGAATCCAAAATATTATAAGCACATATACATGTAAATGGACCATACGATGTCGTTTATATACACCTATACATATATGTCGTTATTTCGTGTTGTGAAAGCCCTAGTTTTTTCTATTCTCATATCCTCTTATCTTTCTCTGGTCTCTTAGTTCTCTCCATCTCAACTCTCAATTCTATCACAATCTCTCAGAGTGTGTGATCAGTTTTCTCTGTCTCAAACTCTTAACTTTCACTTCTCTCTTCGTTTCTCAGAGTGTGAGTGGAAGCCCTGCCCTCTAATTTTGTACATCTCTCAGTCGTTGTGGCCTAAGAGAGATCTGTACCTTTCTCAGTCGTTGTGGCCTAAGAGAGACTTTGAGATCAGAGTTGTGAAGGTCGTTGTGGCCTAGATTAAAAGCTCAATTGAAAAAGAAAATGTTAGAGAATGGGGAATTAGGGAACAAGAAAACAGAGTAACAAATTTATTTGAGTGAGTCAAGGAGGATAAGAATGAATTTTGTATTTTAAGATGGTGGAAGTTAAATAGTGAAATGTTTCATATCCTTCCTAAGTTGAATATGGATATACTTGTTCTTTCCGTCTCTACTGTGCCTTTGCCCTTTTGAATCTACATTCAGTACAAGTGATAGAGTTTTACATGCATTTAGGAATCCTTTTAACTCCTACAATTGTAGAAGCCCTTGTTTCACTAGACGAGATGAGATTGCCAAATCAACTAATAATTTCAAGGGGAGAAACAAGATGATGAAGATCAAAGTGACACTTGTCACCATCTCAGCATAGCAGTTGGAAGTTAGTTAGTTGATAACCTCCTTTCCCTCCCTTTTTTAGCTGATGTATATAAACCAGTTTGTAACCAGAGCAATAAGCAATGAAACAGTATCTTTTATTCTTCAACTTCTTCTTCTGTTAGTGCTCTCTTTAGTTCGTAAAATGGTATCAGAGCTGAGTAATTGAGAGCTTCGATCAGTTTGATCAGTTGACAATGGCATCCTGGCCTCCTCTTAACAATCGTTCGGTTCCTGCTGATAGTGCGACTGCAGGACCATCTGCTCCGGTGATTGGCAACACCAATACAACACACACTGGCCACATTCCTACCACCCCTGTTATCGGATCGAGCAACAATGAGGTAACATTCGATCCTCAATCATAATCCAACCCATATTTTCTTCACATCAGTGAGAATCCAGCACTAGAATTGGTCTCCACCCCCCTTGATGGCGCGAATTACCATTCTTGGGCTAGGGCAATGACCATGGCCTTGTCGTGCAAAAACAAGGTCCCATTCATCAATGGAAGTATTCTGAAAGCTTCCACAGGAAACCTAGATATATATCTCACCTGGGAAAGGTGCAACAATATAGTATCCACTTGGATTGTGCGCACCCTTTCACCAACAATTGCACGCAGTGTGTTGTGGATTGATACTGCATATGGTATCTGGAATGACCTAAGAAGGAGATTTAGTCAGCAAGATCTGTTTCGGATTGCTGAAATTAAGTGTGAGATCTATCAAACCAAGCAGAATGATGATTCCTTGAACGAGTATTTCACCAGGCAGAAGTTGCTATGGGATGAGTTGGGCATTCTTAGACCCCAGTTGAGCTGCCTTTGCAGCACAAAATGTGAGTGTGGAAAGAGAATTGATGAACTGAATGAACAAGCAGAGAAGGACAAGCTGTCTATCTTTCTAATTGGCTTGCATGAGAAGTATACAGGGGCTAGAAATCAAATCATGTTGATGAGGCCTTTACCTGATGTTAATGAAGCATATTCTATGATTTCCCAACAAGAGAGACAATTCCACATGGCCAGCAATGGTTTTGGAGGCCAAATATATCAAGCAGGAGAAAATAATGTTGCTGGCAGCACTCTCTTGGCTAGATCAGAAGGCAATTACCAACAAGGGTTCAAGAAAGCTAATCACAAGAAGCCAGTGTGTACTTACTGTGGGTATACAGGCCATACTCATGATAAGTGTTACAAAAAGCATGGGTATCCCCCAGGATGGAAATCAAGGCCAAGAAGTCAGTCTGTTAATCAAACTCAAGGTCCTCTTGCAGCACAACAACAATACAACCCTGAAGGTAATAAGTCTTTTTCCCAAGAAGACTTCAGAAGGTTCATGGAGTTCATGCATGCTAAGAAATCAGATGGGGATTGCTTGAATTCACATTTTGATCACCAGCAGACTTCACAGGCTTTGGCCAATACTATGGCAGTAGATTTCCAAAAGGAAGGTATGTCTCTTTCAATCAATGCTGTTAGATCAAATAAGATTGATTGGATCATTGATAGTGGTGCCATACACCACATTGTGTGTGATTTAAAGATGTTGAAAAATCAGAAAAAGGCTCACAACATGTATGTTAATATGCCAAATGGCCAACAAGCTGCTATTCAGTTCACAGGGATAGTTTGCTTATCTGAAAATCTTGTGTTGCATAATGCTCTTTACATCCCTGAGTTTCACTATAACTTGGTCTCAGTTGGTGCCTTCATAAAAGATTCAAGTTATGTTGTAAAGATGTACTCTAACCAGTGTATTATACAGGATGCTTCTCATGGGAGAATGATTGGAAGGGCTGAGCTGATGAATGGCTTGTATTACCTAGTTTTTCCTTGTTTTACACATCCTGTATGTAGTTCTATTTCTGTTGAAAACAAATGTATTCTTTGGCACACCAGATTGGGGCATGCCTCACATTCAAAAGTACAGTTCTTAAAAAAACTAGAGCCAATGATTCATTCTAATGAGAATTTGATTTGTGATAGTTGCCATTTTGCCAAACAAAAGAGAATTCCCTTCCAGACCAGTGCTTCTTTATCATCTAACTGCTTTGACTTGTTACACATGGACATATGAGGACCATACAGAGTAGAAACTGTCCATGGTCACAGGTACTTCTTGACAATCTTGGATGATCATAGCAGAGCTGTATGGATATTCTTGATGAAAGCCAAATCAGAAGGTCAGAAATTTGATTGTTGAGTTCTGCAATCTTGTTGGAAATCAATTTGGAGCAGCTATAAAGTGCATAAGGACTGACAATGGTCCTGAGTTTAATATGGTAGAACTGTTCAGACAAAGAGGGATCATACACCAAACCTCTTGCACACATACACCTCAACAAAATGGTAGAGTAGAAAGGAAACATGGGCACTTATTATCCACTGCTAGGGCTTTGAAGTTTCAAGCCAATTTACCTGACAAATTCTGGGGTGAGTGTGTGTTGCATGCTGCATATCTAATTAACAGGCTTCCATCAGTTGCTATCAACAATCAAATCCCATACCAAGTTTTACTCAAAAGGACCCCTTCATACCAACATCTAAGAGTCTTTGGTTGCTTAGCATATGCAACTACTGTTGGACCTAAATCAAAGCTGGATGCTAGGGCCAAGAAATGCATCTTCCTAGGTTATGCTAGTGCCAAAAAAGGTTATAAAGTCTTTGATCTTGCCTCAAAGGAATTATTTATATCCAGAGATGTGATGTTCCATGAGCTAGTGTTTCCTTTCCAACAGTCCAACACACCAGAAGCTGGTCATGGGATCATACTACCATCCATGACTCCCACACTTCCTGAGGATTATGGTGATCTTCAAGCTCAGCAACAGGAACTTTTGCATCAGGGTATAAGTGCAGAAAGTGAGAATGCTGTCTCTCAACAACATGGGACACCTGAACAAACACAAGGTGATTCAGATAGTCCAGCCAGCAGTAGTGGTGAGCATCCTTGGCAACCTTCTCAGGATATCACCACTGAGCAGCAACCTGGTACTGTTCAGCAACATACCAAAAGGTCCACCAGGAGTAGACAGGTTCCTACCTATCTACATGACTACATCTATCAAAATTCTAAGTTACACACTTCCCCCCATCAAATGTGTAAAGTGGTGGATTACAATGGATTGACTCCATCTTTCCAGTCCTTTGCTATGAGCATTTCCTGCCAATCTGAGCTTAAGAACTATTATGAAGCTGCTCAGCATGAAAGATGGAGGTCTGCAATGCAAGAAGAGATAAGAGCTCTTGAAAACAACAACACTTGGCAAATGGTGGACTTACCACCCTCTAAAAAGGCCATTGGCTGCAAAATGGGTGTATAAAATCAAATATAAAGCTGATGGGAGCATAGAAAGGTACAAAGCTAGACTAGTAGCAAAAGGGTACAATCAGACCCTTGGCATTGACTACTTAGACACCTTCAGCCCTGTTGTCAAGATGACCACTATCAGAACTCTCCTAGCAGTGGCAGCAGCAAAGAATTGGCATTTGCATCAGATGGATGTAAATAATGCTTTCCTAAATGGTGATTTGGATGAAGAAGTTTACATGCAGCCACCTCTTGGTTTCTCTGGAGGCAGAAAAGAGCAAGTGTGCAAATTGATTAAGTCCCTATATGGCTTGAAACAAGCTAGTAGGCAGTGGAATACAAAGTTGACTATTGCATTGAAACATATGGGATTTAAACAAGCAGTTCCTGACAGTTCCTTATTCATCAGAGGCAAGAATAGGTCCTTGGTGGCCTTATTGGTCTATGTAGATGACATTGTCCTTGCAAGTGAAAGCCTGGAAATCATACAAAATGTCAAGCAGCAGCTAAGCACAAGTTTTCTACTCAAAGATCTAGGCCCTTTAAGATACTTTCTTGGGCTAGAAGTAGCTAGACACAAAATGGGCATTGCAGTATGCCAAAGGAAGTATGCAATTGAATTACTTGAAGATATAGGTTTTACAAATGCTAAGCCTGTGTTCAGTCCCACAGTTCCCTCACACAAGCTGAGCAAGAATGAAGGAGAATTCCTTCAAGATAGCAGCCAATACAGGAGAATTGTTGGTAAACTTCTTTACTTAACAATAACAAGACCTGACATTACTTTTGCCACTCAGCAATTGTCCCAATTTCTTGATAATCCTACAGATCTACATTTGCAAGCAGCACATAGAGTCTTAAGATATATCAAAGCTGCTCCTGGGCAAGGTTTATTTTTCCCATCTACATCTGATCTACACCTTAAGGCCTATTCAGACTCAGATTGGGGAGCTTGTGTAGATACAAGGAGATCTGTTACTGGATTCTGCATTTTTCTTGGAAATGCCTTAATCTCATGGAAATCCAAGAAACAACCTACTGTCTCCAAATCATCCTCAGAAGCAGAGTATAGGGCTTTAGCAGCCACAAGCTGTGAGATTCAGTGGTTGATATATTTGCTAGCAGAGTTTGGAATGATTCACAATGAAGCAGTAGCTATATACTGTGATAGCAAATCAGCTGTGGCTATTGCAGAGAATCCTGTGTTTCATGAGAGAACTAAACACATAGAGTTGGACTGTCATCTTGTTTGAGAAAAGCTACATAAAGGCCTCATCAGGTTGTTCCACATTCCATCTGAGAAGCAGCTGGCAGACCCCTTTACCAAAACACACTGCCCTACATCCTTTCAGCATTATATCTCCAAGCTTGGATTAATGAATCTATATAATCCAGCTTGCGGGGGGATTTCAAGGGGAGAAACAAGATGATGAAGATCAAAGTGACAATTGTCACCATCTCAGCATAGCAGTTGGAAGTTAGTTAGTTGATAACCTCCTTTCCCTCCCTTTTTTAGCTGATGTATATAAACCAGTTTGTAACTAGAGCAATAAGCAATGAAACAGTATCTTTTCTTCTTCAACTTCTTCTTCTGTTAGTGCTCTCTTTAGTTCGTAAAAAATAATAGTTGTAAATCTTGATGATGCTGAAAGATTGGGTAAACGTTAACACTTAACATTTTAATTTTTTTTTATCTTTTTCATTTATAATTATGTATTTCTATATGCACTTTTGTAGAATTGACCAATGGAGCTAGGAGCAGTAGAGTTGGATCTTCACTTCCCCCAATTGCTATAAAATTACTTTTAATCTCATTTACTTAATTTTTAAAATACTTGAGTTATGAGCTAATGGTTGTCCTTGTTTTGAGGGCTATGCGCTAATGTGCCTATATTGGAAAGTGGATCTTTGATATTGTGGTTGTGCCCAGGTGGACAACTTATACTACAAAATTTTAGTAATGATATTAAGTCTAAACATTTCTTGAATATGAGTGATTATCAATATAGAATCTCGATTTGGCTCTAATCAAACTGAGTCATTGGTTATGATGCTTCCACTATTAGTCTGAAAAGAAAAATGATTTGGATTAGTATGTTGCACCGGTTACTAGAAGTTTAGACTTAAATAGCAATTTGTTCGAAATCCTTATATTGATAAGAAAAACAAAGCATTCTGAGCCAATATGAATTATGGTCAAATTAGTTTTTCCATACGATGGGGTTCAAACTCTCGACCTCTTTTAAGGGATGAGAGTGCACTGTACAACCACTCATGTCAATCAAGCTGATGATTGTTAAACTTGTAGAATTTGATTTGGGGAAAGAAGAATGAGTAGTGACAGATATATTGGAAATTTGGAATTTAGGGTGCTTTACAAAATGGCATTTGATCTTGATTTAATTGGTGGCTTGTAAAGTTAAAAATTGTAATTTGGTCATTTTGGATATTTGGGAATTGAGATTATTAGAATTTGGAAATTGGATGTATTATACTTGTATTTTTGGGTGATGAGGGAAATCCTTATTTACTATCAAATCGTGTTCACTAGGTAAATCCTTCCTATTTATCCTAGTTGACAAAGAATCACGAGAAAGTAAATAATCCTAGCCTCCTAGGTTACTCATAGTTGTCTAGCTAACTCAAACTAAAAAAGCTAATAGGAATCAAACTTGTCACATTGCATACTTGTATTTTGTAAGGTGCAAAGCTGTAAATTCTATTTTTGTAACTTTATTTTGATAATTTACTTGCCTATAAGTGGTTGTAATTTGTAAATTACTAAATTGACATGTAAAATTGTAAACAATGTTATTTGACTTATTTGATTTTAAACATTAATATTTTTACAATTTTGTTTTTAAATCCAAAAATTTTCAAAAATTTAACAAAACTAACCGAAATTATGATAATCCGATGGTTTAAAATGTTTTTTATTGATTGGATTTTAAATTTTTTAATCGAATTCCGAAAGGATTGTATTTCTAAAAATTCGAATTGTTTGTACCGATCTGATGCACTGACCTATGTGAGACCGCTCCATGTAAGATAAATTTTAAATATGTAATGCTTAGATTAATTTCTTATATCTACATGTTCAAAATGATTAATTAGTAAATAAAAAATTACTTTCAAAGTGTACCCATCAAGTTGGGAAAACAGCTTTGAAAATGTTAAGTGCTACATGGGAAGAATATGTGCTTGTGGATTAGTATTTATATATTTACATGTTTTAGAAAAAAAGCAAATAGCATTACAAGAAGGCTGTCATTAAGAGTGTATGTAGCTAGGATTTAAATTCAGATCCAAGCAAATTTGTTTAAAGGAGATGGTGTCACACACATTACTCACAACGATGACGTTCCGATGTGCCATAATTATAATTTGAGATTTCTAAATAAAATGAGAATTGTATTTATTTATGGCTTTTTTATTTTTTATTTTTATTTTTATAACTCATATTTCATGGTCCCATGAACTTACACTATTGGAAATTATGGAATTTCCGACCACCAGAAAGTGATCTTAAATTAAGTCAAAAATCTTGTTCCGACCACTTTTGGTATCTAGAAAAATCTTTGTTGCTATTTCCGGCGACTTTTTGCTTTCGACTTGATTTAAAATTACTTTCAAGTGGTCAGAAATTTCATAATTTCCAGTAGTATTACCCAAACTCATGCGGGTATTTATTAAGAAATTTTAATTATATATCATGCATACAAAATTAATAAGAATATATATATATATATATATATATATATATATATATATATATATATATATATATATATATATATATATATATATATATATATATATATATATATATATAGATATAGGATCATATGAGAACACTTGCTTAGGTGAAAATGTGAGAACAGATCATGTGCATCTATCTAATATTTTTTAATGGTCTAGATTAGATTAAGTGTGTGTGAACACAAATTAAATGTGTGCAAACGCGATTAAGTGTGTTTGCACACATTTAATTCGCATTCGCACGCACTTAATCTAATCTAGACCATTCAAAAATACTAGATGGATGCACACGATGTGTTCTCACGTTCTCACCTAAGCAAGTGTTCTCATTGAAACCCTACTATATATATATATATATATATATATATATATATATATATATATATATATATATATATATATATATATATATATAGTCGAGTTCAAGTGTAGCCGCGCCTTCTCGTACTGTCGGTGCGGCCGCACCAATAGTTATACAAATATACACCATCTAGGTTAAGAAATACACAACAAAAAACATGCACAAATTAGGTATGAATAAAAGCATCACACAGTGTTCGAAAATACACCATTAGATCGAGGTGATGAATTATATGGTGCATTTTTTGATTTTTGGTGTATTTGTGCATTTCATTGTTGTGTTTTTTCCTAACACTATTAGTGTCTTTTGTTCACACTATCGGTGTATGTATTTTGTCAAGCAACCGCATTTGAATAAAAGTATATATATATATATATATATATATATATATATATATATATATATATATATATATATATATATATATATATATATATATATATATATAGGGGGTATATTTTCATTTTATCAGTGACACGTATTAGAACCCCAATGATGGCAAGTACATTATTTTGGGGCATGACCTAAGATATCTTCATAGTAGGCTAATGTGGCATTTTAAGATAGTGAACTCAAAGGCATCTAATGATTTGGATGGTCCTATTAATTATGAGAATAAAGAAACTAAATAATGAATTGAGTAATTTTCAAAAAAAAAAAATAATGAATTGAGTATTGAGACACTCTGGTAAACGTGGCAGTTTTAGATTCTATGGCAAGGATTAAGGATATTGCACTCCTCCCTCACCTCATCCCCCCCCCCCCCCCCCCCCCCCAGTTGTTTGGTTTTCTTCTACTTTTGAAACTAGTTAACTAATGAAAAGTAGTAATATTATGAGAATATAAAAAAGAACATAAATAATAAATATATAGAGCATGAAAAATAAATAAAATTTAAAATAATTTGTAAGTGTGCAAATAAATAAATAAATGTACAACTATTATATTTAATGACGTTAAACATTTATGGAGAAAAGAAAAAGGAGGGCTAAAATTGAAAAATAACTTATAATTGTACATAAAAGTAAACATGAGTTACAAGTTATTATTGCAACTGGTTAGATAAATATTTTTCTTAGTCGTATACTTCGTGTCAGAACCTTAACACCATTGCCTTTTATATAAATTTTGTAAGTGTATAAGAAAGTAAACACAAACTACAAGATAACATTGTAACTATATATATATATATATATATATATATATATATATATATATATATATATATATATATATATACTAGTTATCACAGGCGCATTGCGCGAATAATTCAATGCCCAATGTGTATTTTTAAATTCGTGTTTCAGAATTTATCAAAGCATCATTTGGTATCATTACGTATATTAATACAAAATTATCAAAATTTTCATAAAAGTAAATATTTCAAGAATGCATAACTATGACCTGTAGCAAAAATGTTGGATTAACTGGTATAATAGCAATTTTAGAGGAAAACACTCTCACTGGATCGTACCCAAACGTAATTTTTGCAACACAAAACCCTATTAATTGGCGTGATCCATGCTTCTTCTTGTTGCAACTTCCGCCAAAAGTGAATTCTTGATTTGATATAGTCCCTGGTGTGCTTCATTGCAATTTTAGTGCCTTGGCGTAGTGCACCTTAAAAAACAAAAGAAAGTCCTGCTTCCCCAAAAAAACAATAATAATAGGCATAGTTTCTCATTTTTGTTGAATATATATTGTAAATTAGGTGCATGTACCGTTTAATCAAAGCCCAATATGTGATTCTAGGAGCGTTATACCCTGGACCCGTGTCCACCATCCCACCATGTGCATGGTGGACACGCTGTACATTCATAATTTCTATACTGTAGATTCATAAAATTTATAATGTAGATTCATAATTTCTATACTGCACATTCATAATTTCTGTATTGTAGATTCATAATTTCTATACTCTACATTCATAATTTCTGTACTGTAGATTCATAATTTCTATACTGTACATTCATAATTTCTATACTGTAGATTCATAAAATTTATAATGTAGATTCATAATTTCTATACTGCACATTTATAATTTCTGTACTGTAGATTCATAATTTGATAACTATACAGTTTAGAAATTATGAATTTACATTGCAGAAATTATAAATCTACAGTACAGAAATT